TGAACTCACACACGCTATTTACACAAGCAATTTTGACTTATGCACCTAAAAAAACATACGGAAAAAGTGAGTAAAACAACCTTTCTCAGTCTGACGACGTTTATTTGACACAACTGCATCCAACCTTAATCGAACTGAAAACACGTGATTTTTTTCCCTTTCAAATGCTATCCGTTTCTACGCGGTGTCTAAAGATCACGCAACGCTCCCGAGAGAATGCTGCAATGTGCACATTGTGCTTTACTCGTGATTGAAGGACGTTCATGCAAAACATTGAATTGATTTTTCAGAAAAAAGTTTTCGTTTTCAGTTCAACATACTATTTTACTTAGGCAAATTTCCTCAAAAAAGAAATAAACGAAAAACCAACACAACGAACAAATCGAACTGCACTCAATAGCAAAAGCAAAAAAATATCCAATCTAGGCTAGCATATGTCGATAAACTAGCCCTAGTGGTTCTATTTTGCAAAGCTGAAAAGAAAGAAGAAATTAATTGCGAAACCTCAAACAAATGGAAGCAAACTGTAGATTTTGTATATATAGACGAATTTAATGGTTTTACATTGATTTAGTGAAAGAAAATTGCTTTGTTCGTTCCATAGAGTTTATTGGCCAGTTGAATGTGTAAATATTTGAACAATATGTTTTTCTTTTGTGTCTGTTTTTTTTTTTCTTTTCATTTTGTACAAAAACGAGTTACGTCGCCCAAATAATAAAAACAAAAGAGAATCCAAAACGATTTTAAGTAGGATTAATGAGAAAGCTTCTTCAGTAGCGCTCGATGACACGAACGAAGCGGTTCTAATAAAAAGAATTATGTATGTAGACTCTTTGAGCACCTCACGTTATCGCCATGAATCGAACAAATCATACGACCACAAACAAACCCAAAAAAAAGGAAAATCGATCAGTTTTAACAAAAACACTTTTTCTTTTGTTAATCGAAAATCGTTTTGATGCTTTTGGAGACCCAAACGAACACGCATGCACCACACAGCGCTTGATTGAAAACCAAATCTGAACAAAAATGAAAAAAACCAACACACGAAGCAAAAAAAAGAAATGAAACCACACTTATTTAAGTCTAATGTTATTGTACGCGTAAGTAAACGAGAAAAAAAAAATGATAAAATACATATGGACATTATGGCATGACCCTGATTTCAAATCGAGTGTCTTCCAATCAAATGGTCAGATATTTTGTTTGGCCGCATTCCTTTTCCGTCTCTTTCACATTCATCCAACTGACTGCTATCAACGAATTTGAATGGACCCTCGCGAAACCAACCATACTTTATCAGTTCAGTCATTCACATTTTGAATGATATGTGACACCGAGAAAAACTGAAATAACCTTTCCGACAGAACGAAAGAAGAAAAGGAGTTTACACAAACAACATCGGGTTCGAATCAAATAACATGGAGACAATCGTTTTAATGATGCTTTCTTCTTTTATTCACCATAGCCGTACATATTTTCCGTGAAAGATGTAGTTCGCTTCAGAACCGATTGCGAATACATTCAACTCCGCTAGACACACACACACACGCTTTCACATTTCAAAACAAACTGATGATATCTAGCATCAATTTCCATAACAGACAGATTTTCTATGGCCCATCCCACAAAAACCGGATGACACAAATCAGAAAAGAGTTTTCATCGTTTTTGTTATTGGTTCTGATTTCAGTCTACAACAATACAATACCGTGCAACCGATACTTATCTACATAAGCTTTAGAATTTAGGATCATTTTTGCATTTCTGAGCAAAAGCGAAGCGAAGTCTGAGTTGAAATATGCTGAACGAACGTTGAACCGATGACATATGCATAGTGAAAAGGCGCAAACAATGATTTTGCTAGGCTTACTGTAAGACGAAAAATAGCTGAACTGTAAGGAATTAAACTGTTCGGTGGATGACTTGAATACCCAAACAATATCAAAGTGTCAAAATTACAATTAACAAAAGAACGTGCATTCTCCATGATGCCGAAACACTTTAGATTTGAACACTCTGGTGAATGAACAGCCAAACCACTACCAAAAATTTCATCCAAAGTTGTGTTCAAGACTCGGCCACCATATGGAGAATGCATTCCACTTTTTAATCCATAGTCTTTCGGTCTAACATAACACACACTTGTTGAACATGAAAGAAACAAAATCCAAACTTGAAGGCTTTTTTGTTGGATTAATGTCACAATGATGTTGTTTTTGCATATATATATATTTGATGGGGTAAACAATTTCGTGAAAATGAATGTTCATGTGAGTGATTGTCAGGCTATTTGAAGTGGTCGTCAAGTAAACGAGGCGCATCGAAAAAAAAAACTAAAACCAATTCATTCTCCCAATTGATTTCTCTTGATATTATATCGATCGCTTATTTCCTTTTATTATCTTAGAAAAAATTGTAAATAATTTCAAATGTTTTATTCAGTTACGGTTTCTGGCTACGAACAAAAAAAAATCGTATTTCATTGTGTCTCATTATTGTTCATTCAAATTGACACTCATCCGGCTTTTTTTTTTGCATAGACCTTTCACTCAACATTTCTTTTCTTTCAACTATTTACATTGTTTCTAGACGAAGAACATTCGTTTCTTGTTCTCAATTTCGATTAATTTTCAAACTTCTATTATGTAAATAAATTTTTAAGTCAAAAAAACTTTAGCAACATACATTTAGTTCCAGTTCAGATTATTGAGCTGTTGAATTTTCAACTTTATTCTGCTTTCAGTTTTGATTTAGTTAACATTTTTATTTAAGTAACAAATATTGTTGCTCGATTGAAAATAGGATGAGTGTTTACATGTTAACTTGCATTTTTTTTTCTTCAAATAATAATCAATTTTTCACATTTTGATATAAATAATGATGCAATGGAAATGATGGTTTAATAATTAAACCAATTAGTAATTTATGTTTAGTCAAGCCAAACTAATCTATCTATTTAAAGCAAAAAAGAGGTGAAAGAAACATTGTATAGACTCAATTAACGATAAAAACAGAAAATCCTGCATAGCGAGAGAAAAAAAAACACATTTAATTACTAATTTTTAAAGAAAAAAAAAACAAATGAATGAATATTCGTACATAAAATGAATTCACTGGACAACACCATACAAGTAAACTTTGATTAGTCGTAATACAAAATGTAGCATTTACAATTTCACATAAGATTCAATCCAAACGAAGTGGATGCGAATTGAATATTGTAAATCTAAGTAAAGAAATCAAATTGAAAACACAGAAAAAAAAAATGGAAAAAAAACTTTATAAAATTGTATAATTAAAAATTCCGTAGGTTTAATCAATTGATATAATAAATTTAAATGTATGAATATATTAAATATTTAATGGCAACACTAAAAAAAACAACTGTTGCTAATAACATGTGTTAGTAATTAAAAAGTCGAATGAATTTTTTGCGAATGGAATTTTGAGAATTTTTATTTCATATTTATCGTAATTGTGTGCATGTGTTCAGTATGTGTTAATTTCTTTGTGTCTGTTCAACGAATGAAAGAAGGTTTAGATTTAAGTGTAAGATCCGGGCGTTTTATTGCGCGCCAGATTCACTACATCGGAATCGAAACCAGCAATCAAAATGTAATTATATAAATGAATAATGAACAAACAACAACAACAAAAAATGAACAAAAGCCCATGGTATATATTAGAGCCACGAGATACACAGTCGCACTATTAACCAAAACAACATTAAAATAAACAATTTTTAAAATGCTACTTGTCGCAGTAGATATTTTAATTATTAAAAAAAAAAACCAACAAAAACTACCAAACAATTTATTAGAGACAAAAACTAAATGCAAATTGGCAATCAATTTGCAAATTATATATAAATCGTAACGAAATCAAGGCACGAATATTATTTAAACCAAACACAAAATGGAGCAATAGCACACAACTAGCCTACGGTGCAAATGCAAATGGAAATGTTTTACCTGTATATTTAATCATAACAGCAAACAAACACACTGAATTAAAAGAAAAAAATGTAGTTAAAAAAAGAACGATTTCGTTTGTCAAAATGGTATACATAGTTCACGTTTGTGTACTCACCGAAATAAAAGCATCATACACAGCAGTTAGCGATAAGGCTTACATCTAACAAGTTTTTAGTCAAATAAATTACCAAAAAAAAGAAGAAGTTATCGTACTAGACATTCCGACGACGACGAAGACGATGAATAAATGAATGAAAAGAAGAATGACGAATCGCACTCACTTGTTGATGGCATTGCGTGCACAAGTGCGCGCTCCGTCAGTGGGTGCATTTTCCTAATCATTTCAAGTGGCATTAAGCACAATTGACGCGAAAACAAATGAACATTTATATAGATAATAATAACGAAATCAACATTGACGTAGTTAATCATTTTGACTTTAAGAAGAAAATCAAACACAAAAACAAGTTATTTATAACAATTGAAAAATGGATGAAAACAACTAGAAAGATTATTGACTAGATGAAGAAAATATTAACAAAAAAAAAAACGAAAAAATCCAACAAACGCATTGACGCATTATTTAAAAAAAAAAAACAAAATCTATTATTATTGGATAGAAACAGATACTAAAATTTTAAATATGAACAAATTGAAGAAGACAATTTAAACGAATAACAAAAATTAATGTAAACGACATTGCATGATTTGGCACACATTAAATAAAATCAACCAAATAAAAAAATGGACAGAAAAAAAAACTATTATTACTATAGAAATTGTATAAAACACAAGAATGATTTAAACCAAACAAACAAAGAAAAAAAAAACAATGGAAAATTTGTGAAAAAGACACACAAAACAAACATCAACTCAAAATTATTATAAAATTATATAAATAAATGTTATGCGTTATTAATAAATTATATAAATGCCAGTGGTTTTCTTTCGATTTATTTATTTATATCCTTTTCGTCTCACAAATGTGTTTTTTTTTTACAGAAATTAGACTTTACTTGAGTTCTACATGAAATTAAACGGCGTTGAATATTCGCCCAGTGCCAATTCGATCAATGAAAAACTGCAATCTGGATAAACGGAGCTACAATATACTCGGTCCCTTCCTTTACGATGCGCCTTATCGTAAACAACTAAATCGGGATGCTCGAATGGTAGTATTTTCATTGCGGGCAATGTGAAAATGGTGCGAACCATTTCCTCCACCATATTTGTTGGTTTTTGGTAGAAAAATTGTGAACTCTCACAAAGTGCACGTAAAATACACGACCGTCCATTATAGCCCATGCTAAAAAGAAAACACGAGTAATTATTACAATAGCATGCGATTCGATTCATATCAGTCGAGACTCACTTATCGATGATATTTTCGAGGCGATCGTATAAATCTCGCCGATGTCTTCGCTGAACAATTTGCTTTGGAAATGCTTTACGATTCTTCTCGTTAATTATCCAAGTATCGTTTGGTAAGTCATATGCGAGGCCCTTCCGATAAGAAATATTGAGTAGAAATTATTAAAAAAAATAAAATTATGATAAATGAAATGATAAAATTGATGCAATAGATTGAAATAAAAAATGCAGCCAATGACTGTTCGACCCATAAATTACAAAACATTATGGTGTGCCCCAATTAATTTGCATATTTTATTAAAAATCATAATATCAGCTGGAGTGTATGTGTGTGATGGACACACCGAGATGACGAGAATGTCAACAAAAGCCCTTAAGCTTAACTCACCCAATTGATTGCCCAACTGAAATAGATAAATTGTGGGTTGCCCACAAATCCAACGGTAGCACAAAACGCGACCTGGAATCAAAAACATTTATTTTCTTTCAACACATTTCAGTTTCTTCGAACCGAAGATTGTGATTTTCATTTTACCGAAAATGAACTTCCTTCCGGAAAGGCTACATAGCGTTTGCGTCTGGATTTTAGCTCACCATCTGACGTATCCGTACAATTCAAATCTTTTTGAATCAATGATTCCAATGAAGTCGATGAATTGTGGCTTTGGAGATGTGCTGTTTGCTGGTCTTCGGCCACAGCATTTGTTGAATCGATTACGTTAAAAGCTATCACCAGAAACACAATTGCTTGGGTCAGTTTGATTCCAATCATTTTTTTTGACATCAAGTTCAAAGAAAAAGTTTTTAAACGCAATTGAAAGAATACAACTAGATCACAACTCAAAGCGATACCATTTCTAACTGAAAACTATGAGAATCAAGATTGAATGACATTTGTATCATAGTACCGTACCATCCAGAGAGAAAATGAAGTTGAGTTAAGTGTGAAATATTTTGTTCTCAATTCTTTTTTGGAGTCTTCCCAGAGATAAAAAATAGATGATGAAATACTGAAAAAAAACGATGACCGAAATATGTTGAATTTTTCGTCGATGCATGATAATTAACGAATCGTTATAGATCGATCATTGAACTCCAATCACAGATGAAAAAAAAAAACGTTCCATAAAAATTCAACAGAAAACTTCAACCTTTATTCATCATGACATTAAATGGTGTACATAACGACCAAAAAAAGCCGAGCCACAGCAATATTCCAATACGTGGGCTACATGAAATTATACGGTTTTGCATATCGTCCCAACGCCAATTCAATTAACGAGATGCTACAGTCACGAAACGCTGATGAACAATAAACATTGTTTTTGCCCATTCGATGTGCACGATCGTAATCATGTAAGTCATTGTGTTCGAATGGCAGCACTTTGGTATCAGGCAGCCTGAAAATAAAATCAATATTCGAATCACGGAAAAGTAAATAAAAATTTGAATAGTAAGAGGGAGAGAGTGAGAGGACGAGGTAGTGATGTGGCTGACATAAAACAACAACGCAAATAACACTCACGTAAACACAATGCGAATCAATTCCTCGACCATATTAGTTCCTTTGCCAAAAAAGTACTGAGCACTCTCACAAAGCGCACGTAAAATACACTGACGACCGCTGTAACCCATGCTGCAACGATACAAAAATATTCGATATATAGTTTGGACACTTCATGCAAGAGGATGGTGTGCTGTGCAACTAATTGTTTTGAACAAACTTGTCTATGGCAATTTCCAATCGGTTGTACAAATCACGGCGATGGCGCCGCTGCACCAATGGTTTCGGTAATTTTTCGTTTCGATGCTGTATAATCCATGTTTCGTTTGGTAAATCGTACGCGAGGCCCCAATTCAAAGCCCAGCTGAAATAAATAAATTGTCGATTACCCACAAATCCAACGGTAGCTCAGAACGCGACCTGAAATGAAAAACATATAATCTAATACCTCATATAGTCCAATTCCGGGTTTCCAATCATTCCAATTGTAGCACAAAACGCGACCTATTCATTTGATACGTTGAAATGTGAATTAAAGAAAAACAATTGCGAACAATCTACACAAAAATACGTATGGTATGGAAAACCTACCGAGAACGATGAACCCTCTGGAAATGCCACATAGCGTTTGCGTCGAGACAATACTTTTGTTGAATTGATTTCTCGTTCATTTTGCCTCGAATTTTGTGTTGAACTCGTGATTGAATCGCTCGCAGCAATATTTTGGTCAAAGTTTTCAATGCAACACACACTGTGCACAACAACAATAGCCAAAACTAATAGAATGGCTTTTATCCTTTGAGCGCCCGCAGTAGTATCCATAGTTGATTTACACCACAGCTCAGCAATTACACTGTTAGTCCAAACGAACTGATTATTTCGGTCAAGTTTGAACAAATGAAGCGGCCAACAGCGGTGGATATTCGATTTCAATATTTATCTAAATATGAACAAGAACTACTACTCGCTCCACGGGTGAACCACCGAAAGCGATCCCACAATAACTGTGTGTATATTTCATGCTTCACAGCCAAATGTACTGACTTTTCGCACATATTCATGTATCGCGTTACCATATAGTACCGGCTACGAAGTCGGAACAGCAAGTCATCTGTTTGCTTATGCTACGCAATTTCGCGTCTCGTTTACATACCGCTTTAGAGCATCAACAATTGTAGTCCGCACATATGAGTGAGTGAGTGAGCGTGTGTGTATGTGTGTTCTTTCATAGCGGTAAATCTTGAATGAACGTGAACAATTGAGGCCTATGCACACCGCGCATATCAATTAGTATGGGCTCATTGAATTGATTTGCAGGATTTGAAATTCGAATGATAAATGAGCTAAAAAATTGGTTGGCATGATTCGAAAAATTTGAAAACAAGCGGCGAGGACGCGAAATGATCTGATTTTCCGTAAACAGTCAAACCATGGGATTTAAATTCCAAAATTAGATATTCACTTGAACGCTGATGATGTAAATTCATACAACGGCAACCAAACGACTGTATATATGAGTAAGAATGCCAATGTGAGAAGAGTCAGAAGGTGCTAATGAATACAACACGCCAATGAACTCTTCCAGCCAAATATTATACACGCACACATTCAACTTGCACACCACATATGATTTGCGGCTAAAATATGTGAATCTACTCGTAATCTTTATTCGATTGACTCTTTTTACGATTGAGTTGCTCTCAAATTGCCACGCTAATCGGCCGCATTATTATTACCGCGCTAGCTTATTAACGGTTTTTAGGATTTGCCAACACAATGGTAAAATCATTCGAGTAACGGACATCTGTAGCAGTGATACTTTAAACACGCGTCGTCAATATGAACATCATAGCTTGTGTACTTTCGATAATTTTTGCAGAAATTTTGTTAATTGAGCCCATTTTCAGTGCAAATGATCAGTTAAATGATGTAAACAAAAATAATACAGCTAATGAGCCTAATGGACTACGATTTCAACGCATTTTACGGCGCAAAAAGAGATTTTTGCTTTTTCCACCTGGTTCTGCCATCGTTGTAGGTGTTTTTGAATAGATTTATTCAAATTGAACCGAAAACATATTGAATATCAAGTTCAACTTCGAAATTGAGTATATTTTTCATTTCGAAATGCGATTGTAGACTACGATGTCGTACACAAAAACTTTGGTGCCAAGATCTCCCTCTGGAATAAATATCATCGGTGAATGTGACATTTTCTATCCATTACAAACGAAAATAGCGGATTGGTATCCAATGAAAAAGCCACTGCCGCCGCCTCCACCTCCATCGCCATTGCCAGAAGAGGAGGAAGATGAAGACGTTAAACAAGGTATTTTGAACACTAGAAATCAACAAGCCATCATTCTTATTTATATACAAAATTCAAAACCATTTATAAAGATTTCATTCAAATCATTTGCTTTTGAGGTCCATTGCCTGGCAATCTTGGTCCAATGATTCCGCAGAATGTTATGCCACAACCAGCACCACCACAACCACCTCTTCCCCCATCAAACGATCGTAAGGAACTTTCATTTTTTACAATAAACACTGTCTTTTGTGCATGAAAGTCCAAGTTACACAGACTTACTTCAATGAAAATTGTTCCATATTTTGTTAGCTGGTCCAATCAATAATGCGTCACCGCCAAACAATATCCAGTTTTTACCGACTCGATTGCCAACCGATCAGGAGATTGGAATCACATCAGCCACAATTGTTTCCGATCCAAATTTTAATGTTGGTTCGCATCCGGGTGAGATTTATGTTGATAACAATGGAAAACGTTCGCAAAAAATTCCTCCACGTCGTTTTTTTAACGAATATTCAAAATATTATTCATCGTCAAGACCTTATCAGCAATATCATCCGTATTATTTGGTGAGATGAACCAGAGTTGTAAAAGTGCAATTACAAAATTTGTAAGGTTTCGTGGAAGCCGTTGATAAAACGACTAAAAAAACATACAAAAAATATACGGATTTTGATGAAAATTGTCACAGACATATTTTAGGAGATAAATTTTAATATCCACCAAGTTTCAAGTCGATGCGACCTTCCAGAGCTGAGGAATTGCTGATGGAAAAAATGTAATTAAAAAAAAGTAATGATTACACGCAATGATTGCTTTTTTTTAATTACATTTTTTCCATCGGCAATTCCTCAGCTCTGGAAGGTCGCATCGACTTGAAACTTGGTGGATATTAAAATTTATCTCCTAAAATATGTCTGTGTCAATTTTCATCAAAATCCGTATATTTTTTGTATGTTTTTTTAGTCGTTTTATCAACGGCTTCCACGAAACCTTACAAATGCGCATGTAATTAAAATGGCAAAATTTACAACACTGAGATGAACTCTTTTAAATGTTTTATTTTCAAAAATGAGTGACTTTTCCATTCGTTCACCAACGAAGTTTTTACAAACATAAAAGATATCACCTTTCACATTGATAGTAGAATTGGAACTCAACGGGTGATTTAAAGACATACAACGATTTAAGGCGCTATAATGACAAGCAGCATTATTCGTATAAAGAGAAAATTCCATGGAATCCAGAACAAAGTGGTGTACAAACCATGCAAAAGGAGAACCGCATTTATTCAGATTCGAATGAAAATCGATGGCAATCTAAATACAGGGATAATCGTCGATTTGAATCCACTTCAAGCTACGGGGGATACTCTGGCAATCGGTATAGCCATGGTTCTCGTGAACGGCGGGATATTTTCGATCAGCTTGAATCCTTTATGTCATTGTTAGTAATAGACATTCAAATTCGATTTATAAACTCATAGACATTTCCTGACCGTACGAAATACAACACATTTCTCTTTCAGCAAGCAATTCGATACGAGATCATGCATTTTACGAATGATATGCGAGGCAAAGCATTATTTACTACCACCGGGCAAATCTCTTTTCCAAGACATATTCCGTATTCTTTTCACGTAAGTTGGCATAGCTTAAAATGTGGAAATGTTCTACAATTCCGTTTTTCTATTTCTTTCTGCAAACTTTTCAGTTTACCAGCTGAAAATGAGTCAGATGATGAATATGCTCGTGCATCGCAAGCAACAGAAGAGGATTGTGATACGATTTATTCGGAAAATTGTCGATTCAGTGTGCTCGGACTTTTATTGAGCAAAGACAAGCCAATCCTTTGAAATCTAAATTGTTGTAAATTAAAAAATTGAACAATTAAAAACTATTTTATAAATTGTGAACCGTTGAGTTTTAAATCTTTTCCATGTCGTTTCAAACTGGTTATGTAGAAAAATGCGCACGATTCCGCATTGAACAGCCATATTCAGGACGTGTTTTATGGCTATGACACGTTCAATGTACGTGAAATCTGTGTTGCAAATTAGTTTGCGAAAAAATATGAAATCTGTTTCCAACTTGCATTCAGTTTTCTGATTAAAAATGATAATCTCGAATAAACTTGATGTAATTGCAAAGCAAACAGATGTATTTTGTTCATTTAAATAAATGTATTTATTGTAGTGTATCAAGTCGTTTACATGTATTTCGAATTCCAAACACTTTCCTTACAATCGGGATACATTTGCTGACAATCTGCTGTTGATGCGTGAGCGTCATCGTATTTTTGGTGCTCCGGATGATTGGTTTGCTCAGTTGGCTCAGTTGGCTCTGGTAAACTGTACAGGCGAGAAAGAAGGAGAACGAGTTTTCAATCACAAAAGAGAACTTCTTCTTCTTCTTCTTCAGAAAAAAAATTGAAATGGAAAAACTTTTAATAATAACGTACGTAAAAACAGCTCTAAGTAGTTCAACAACCATACTTCCGGGCTCTTCATTATGTTTGCGTTGACCGGTTTCGCAGAGCATTTTCAAAACACATTGATCGCCATCGCTGCCTTGCCTTCAAAATTAAATCGCAAAATAAGAGTTTTTTTTTTAGTTTTTTTTTTCCTTTTGAATAGAATGGAAAAAATGGGGGACTTGGAGTATGTACGTTTTAAGAAATGTATTGATTTGCTTATACAACGCATGCCGTGAATTTCGATGTAGTTTCAAGTCGAATTTATCCAATGGTGTCAATTCATCGATACTACGTTTTCGGAACGCTGGATGCACAATATGGGCGTAGTTTGTTCGTTGCCGATACTCTCCATTGGGTTTGCTATTTGCCTTTACATTGTTGACCAAACTACATTTGAAAGCAAACGCGAGAAAGCAAAAGAAAAAAAGACATGAGGATGGAAGCGAGAAAAAATGCGAGAAATATTTTTGAAATTGCAAATTGATTGGAAATTTTTTTGCTGATGTTGTTATTGTTGTTAAAGAATCAAATCGAACAGATGTCTCCCAAAAATACTCACATGTTGGCAAATTCCTGAAAATCCTTTGTACTCAACGGCCGGTCTTGTGGAATTTTTTCGGTGAGCTTTTTGAATTGCTTCATCAAACTGTCCGCATATGAAACATAATGTTGAAGTTTATTCGATGATGGTGGTTGTAAACTGTTTGCGGAATAATATGATGGTTTGCCATCCGATTGATAGTAGAATGATGATGGTGGTGGTGATTGGTATTGATTTTTTTCAGAGGCGAATTTTTGCTTCGGTATATTTGTATAGTAGTAGTTTGAATCGATGCGATTTGCAGTGTTGGAATATTTTTTCGACGGAAGCACATACTGTACATTTGTGATGTTTTTATCATTTCGATGAAGCAACGGCAATTGTCCCATTTCATATGAATCACGTAGCTCTTCATCCAAATAAATCGGTTTCGATGGGAGTTCCCAAGCCACTAATTCGAACATGCAAAAAAAGAAGAAACAATTCAACACAAAAATTGAGAAGAAAAAAACTTCAGGCAATTTTCTGATTAAATGTGCTTACTCGCCGCCGTGATACCCAAGATGAGATAATTTGAGTACCCAACAATTGGATGATATGTATCGTAAACTGTACAAGATAAAAACATTTTTTAATTAAATGAATGAATGGCAAATTAAAAGCCATCATTTGTTGAGAAGCAAAAATTGCTTCGTGGAAGAACATCGCAAAAAAACCCACCTATTTGCATTGAAGAACCCGGCGGAAATATAAGGTAGCGACGTTTCCTCGACAGCACTCGTTCACCGTTTACATTATTAAAAGATTCATCGTTACGTTTCGTCCGTTGCGATGCATTTGCAGCAGCAGCAGCAGCACGAGCACTAGCACCGATTGTTTTCCGTGATTGATTATGTATTGATGTATTTTCCGCCGAAGATAAATTGACATCGTATGGTCGCTTTTCATTTACACCGATTTTACTTTGCCTCAAAATTGAATTTCCGTCGGCTTTTTTTCTTTCGGTTGCATTTGCCAGCGGAGTGGCAATCGTCAAGAAGCCATCAACCGTGCAATTCTTCGTCTTGACATAATTCACTTGTGCATTCACATTCGATACGGAACCGAATTGTTGTTCTCCAAATTCCGGTACACATGCTCGATTACGGCTTGTGCTTGTGTTGCCATTTAAAGTGTCGGCCGTAATTAATATAAACGGTGACAATGCCAACTGCAGCAACATGAAAATAATTAATTTACGAAGCGGAAAGTCGACAACGCCAACTAAGCTTAAGCGATGTAATGTCTTCGTCGTTGTCAACGTCAGCGTTGGCAACACGGAATGCTTTCGTGCCATGATAACTTCTAATTAAACGGTTGCGTCACTTATGATTGTACAATGTACACTCTTCTTTCTTTTGCAGGATTCCAAATAGGCAAGCGGAGAGAAAAAATGAACAACCCAATTTAATTATAAATGTGAAAAATGCACAGCGACAAATTTGTTTATCACTCACTGTTTACAGTTTAACTCTTTTGAAAGATTCAATTTGTTCCGAAAAAACAAATCCCGTTGGAAAAAATAAGTAGTCACAATCTTGGAAATTGATTGAAGAATATTTAAAAAAAAAATGGTTTTAATAATGGGAAGTTAATGTCTTAACTCCCTTATGACAGCGATATAAAAAGTGAACTTTTGCTACTTCCAATAAATTCCACTGACTTTACTCCTTTGGCATAGCTCGCGAAGCGAAGCGAAATAATGGCAAACACCTTTTGATTGTATTTACTTGAAAGCGTTGACAATCGATTTTCCGTATTTATTTACTTAATTTGCTCTTTCCTTCATTCATTCCAGAACCAAAATTTATTCATAATCATGTTCGTGTAAATTATTTGAAATGCCGTTATACTTTGTATTGTTGCTCAGTCAAAGCCAACAGTAACAGCAACTCAGCTACACATTGAATGTGGAACAGAAAAAAATTGATTGAAAGAATGTCGTTGAAGTCATTTCAGCTACGCGTATTTGTCATAATTCACTGAACCGTGTATAAAACCGTTAGCGTTTTTTTTTCGAAAATCGAGTGAAATTCTCTCATCGACCGACACGAATAACACACTGTATAAATTAGAATCGATTAGAACGATGTGGTCACACAAACAAACTTATAAAGCGGAAAAAAGCGATTGATGATTGATGGAATGGAAGTTCTTTTCCCTCTTTGTTTGCATCACCAATTATGTCCAGATGATAGAATTGCACTCTACTTTTTCCTTTACACTCTTTTTTTTTCAATTTGATTCGTCCATTTTTTATGTGAATTTTAAAGCTCTTTTTCTTTTTTAATGATTGATTGTTGAGTTAAGTTTTTTTTTATGAGTTGAGCCTATGATTTTGCTGTCGTTGGCTTGAATTGAAATGAGGTACGATGTTGGAAGAAAAAAATTGTGTGAAAAAAATCCCAGGTTAAATCTTGATTGATCAGCACAAGAATTGGATATACTCCAATATGTAAAATATTGGTTGTTGCATCCAAATGAAATGTATTGATTTAAAGCCGATTTAAACAGGCAAATTAAATCGTTCTGAAACACACCGAACGCAGCACACTATGCCATCAACTACTTGGTTTTGTGTAGAAGCATCTGTCTGGGGAAATGATGTGACTAGATGCTGTTGCTTCATATAATTAACCAAGTGGATGATGAGACACATGAGCGAGTGGGAGAGACGGCCACTGACCATCGATAATTACATGACGTCAAACATTCAACAGCTAGGAACATGTAATGAATGCATTTAATGAATCTACAACACAATACTACGTTCAAGCATTCACGAAATTTCTACTCCACCAATATACACACAGTACGCCATGCTTTTCAGATGGAATATTTTGACCGCACACCAAGTGCCTTCCAATAGAATGCTGGTCGTTTGTCTTCAATTTATTATGGTTGTTGGTGCTAATCAATATTTAATTATGTGCAAAACCGAAGTTTAAACGAAAATCCCGCAGCGTATTGTCTTTACAACACCCAAATTAGTTTACGAGCTAACCGTATTCGAGTTTTGGTTCGGCGAAATGAATCAAAACACCGGGATTGTGTATGTGTGTGTTACACGTTTCTTTTGTCATTGTTTATTGGTTTTTAATTTGAGAATTTGGCAAATTGTTTTACTGGCGATGAAAAGTGGCATCATTATCAATTAAAAAGCCAGCACTCCAAATACTCTCCGGACACAATGGGAATTTGGCAGTGCAATCAACGATCGTTTGATGTGCATCATCGTAGTCAATGTGCCGCTTATGTATCACCCGCTGTAGCTGCGCCACCGGCAAACTGTGTATATCGAATATTGTTCGGGTTAGCAACTGAACGGCAAAATCATTTCGAAATTGAATTTCGCATTTTCATGATGTGTCTCACCTGAATACAGCACGAACGATTTCAGCTAAAAATGAGGCCGGCTCCGTTTCATGTCGCTTTTGGCCGACTTCACATAATGTTTTCAAAACACATTCGGTCCCATTATAGCCTTTACTGAAATTGGTTTAAGTTGATTTTAAGAAGTTTTAATGGGAATTGCACACAGTGTGCACTGTGCATGGATGAACAACAATAGATAAGCGTACTGAGATACTTACGCAAATAGATATTTTTCAATGATTTCATAGAGTTTATGACGCGTCGTTCGATGATGTTCCAAATAGAATTTCTCTTCAAAGCTAAGCGACGCATCGCGTACGCTTCGTCTTCCCATTGCCACATAAACCGTATGCAACTTATTTATGATGGGCTTGAAATCCGGAACTTTTGTTGTCTTCTTCGTTTTGTTGTTCGTCGTTGATCTGTGCGAAAATCACCGTATTTACAAAGGATTTGAAATGTTAGAAACTTCTTCATGCCTTAAAATGTGTACAATATTATTACTTTGAGTCTGGTGATACCGTTGTGTATTTCATTTGCGTGGTGGATTCGAGCCATGGCTTGAAATATGTATCGTTCATGTATTTCATGAATGCACCATATCGGTTACCTTCGTCATATGTGGCTGCATACGGCGGACGAACGTTGTACGAATTATAATCGTTAGTTTTATCTTTGCCGTTCGTATAATAGCTGATACTATGCTCATTATTGTGAACACAATTGCGACCGTTATTGCAATAGGACTTTTTGTTATAATTCGTTGGACTCAACGGCGAATTTCCGAAATAATATGAATCGGGCTTCCGACGCTGCTGGAAGTATTTATAATAATTTGCAATTCCATTCATAATGCCACTTCCGTTGTAATATTGATTTGAGTAACTAGGAATTTTGTTGGATGACACGATGGCGGCAGCGGTTTCCCCTTTTCGATTGGCATCGGTGAAATTTTTATCCTCGCGCAACAGCAGAGGTAATGATCCATTTTCATAACGTTCCATTAGCTCCTGTTCAGGATATACCGGTTTGTCCGGCAAGCCCCATGCGAGTGCCACTTTTTCAACGTATTACAATATAAACTGTAGTCTCATGATTGATACAACTTACCAAATTATTATCAACATTGATACAACTTACCTGTAATCTAATGCGAAATGATTTGATTAATTCTATGCATTTTTTTATATTTTGACATTTTTTTTATCAAAGTTTGATTGAAAAACCTTTTTGCATTACATACCCCTGTTGTGACGTATAGCGTCTGAAATATAAGAAAGGAAAAATTCGACTTGTTGTAAGATATTTACAAAAAAAAGGAACATAACTAAACTTAGACTTACATAGTCGGGAATGGTGATGGTTTGATCATAGACTAAAAAACAATTAAAGAATTTTAAATGGGTGAAACTAGCGAAGAAATTCACTTTAAAAATATTACCCAATTGTATGGAGCTGCCAGTAGGAAAAATCAGATAACGTTTCTTGCGTGACAGTTTTCGTTCGACCTTCTGACCTGATACCGGTTGTCCTTCATCCATTCTCGAAATTGCTTGCATTGAGCTTATGAAAAATGTAAGCAAGAGCAACAAATGAAGAATAAAGCTTCCGTTTAACATTTTTTCCGTCAATTTTTTTGTTGTTGTGTTCGGTGCTTGACGAAGACACAAAATGTAAGCGAGATACGCGTAACAAATAGTTAAATCTTGTGGAGATACTCGTAGATTCACTCGCAGGAAACTGAATGGTAGATGTCATGTCAATTGTTCCGTTGCCTGATGGCACGTTAATTAGTGATGCAAAGACATTTTATCAAACGAACGAAGAAAATACGCAGAGAGACAAAAAAAGAGAGATAGAAGAATAAGAATAGGAACATAAAGTCGAAAGAGCACAATGTAATAAAATGGGAAAGGGGCCTTGATTTGATCAACATGAATATGGAAAGAATAGACGAAAGGCGAATGAATTAGTGAGACGCTACTTCGACTAGCAGTAACAATTAATTAATGTTAAATGAAAGAAATTGAGATAAATTTGATTTGAGCCAAACGAAACGATGACTCTGCAGATGGAACGTCAATCGAATGGAATGTGAAACAAAAAGAGAGAAAAGCACCGTTTGATCAAAAGCAACAACAACAACAGCAACGAAACTCGAAAAATATGTATATGTTTGGAAAAAGGTGATTTTGAGTGCACCCGCCAACTCTAATGAAAAGTAGTTTCGCATGGTACACATACACACCAATAAAACGTTGAATGTTCTTTGCATTCCACGCTCTTTTTCGGTTCATGCAGCGAAATGACCAAAAAGCCAAAGGTGCTGGTATTCTCTCGAAATTCTCTCCTCCTCTGTCTCACCGCTGCAGCTATCGTCGTTCGTTCTTCGTTCAAAGCGAAATTTTGTCACTCTGAATCTAGAATCTTCGTTTAATGGATGTGTCGGATGGTATTTGCTCAGTGTGCTGGCATGTTACATTAATTAAATCGCACGTCATTCGCTCCCTCGCTCGCTCACTCGTTCAAAATGCCATTTTAAACGCTGCCTTCCTCTACCTCTCTCTCTCTCTCTCCCCCTCTCTCTCGTTCGTTTCGATTCTTGTCACTTGGGGCAAAAATAAACAACATTCAGCAGATGGATGCACTCACAACGTGACATCAACAAATACCGTGCACACAATTTTCACACATCTCCGTATCGTACACTTGAAAATGCATTTTTGCTTCCGTTTAATATTTGCTTTCAACTGCTTGGACAAATAACAGCCAGAAGAACCAAACAAAAGCAAAAGCAAAAGAAAAGAAAAAAACAACTGACAGAAATTCCAAAATCCAAACAACATTTTAACGAAATGCCATTGCATACGGAAAAATATAAAAATACGGCCAAATATTTCTACTCCTCTCCATCTCCCCGGTCTTTCTATCCATCTCTCTCCCTCTATTTTGTACCAAATGAAAACTTCCGAACGCATTATTTCTATTTATTTACCAAGATTTTAGCATTTCCAACCTAAGTTTCACTTTATACGCTTTTGCTGCATCTGTAACAGCAGAATCACCAACAGTAACAAAATATATTGGATTTTATTTGAAGAAGCGAATGAATGTTTGTTCTCATGTCACAGTAAAATGTATGCTTTACGCTGCTGCGGGCACATTGCATTTTCAATCACAGACAAACTCTCATTCGGATTGCGATTCGAGAAAATATTTTTTTTCTCTAGAAAATATGTGTTCTACTTTAGTACAAAAGTATAAAAGGCAACTCCTATTTTAAAACACCTACTTATCTTTTTGACAGTGGTCATTCGGCTGAATAGAATTCACCGAATAGGAGTTCAATCGGGTACATGTTCTAGTTAGATTTCATTAGAACTTTGTGTCAAATGCACGATTTTGGTTCGTTTAATAGAGTTATCAACGTGATGCGGAGACAATAAACTTTCTTCAAACAGACGCAGTTCTGATCGATTCGAAATAGCGATGGCAGGAGAGACGCACAAATTCAGCTCAAGTCATTTCGGAATGTACACACGAATATAAATCAAATCCGCTCAGTCTGATGTGTGTGTGTGTGTGTGTGTGTGTGACGAAATGTTTATTCAAAAAATTAGCAACCAAATTTAACCGTAAACTTTTCGACATGTTTGCACTCACTTCGTTTTTATTTGGCTTTGCTTTCGTTCGTTCGGCATTATGTATTCAAGAAGACGAAAAAAAACATAGAATTTAGAACAAGAGAATTGTGAATAAAGCAAATGCCACAGAAAATCATGATTCAATTTAGTTGCACGGCATTTTCGGATCGACAGTCTCATTTCGAAAGCGTTGCAATAAAAAGTAGATAAAATGAGAAGTGTAAGCATTTTGTTAATTTTGACTTTAGTTTTAACCATAACCATTTGCTCAGTTGCAATTGATGATATGAACATGAAGTCACTGGCTTCGGATCCACCAATCAATACAACGATTGTACGGCATAAACGCTATTTGGATTTTATTCCAAAATCCAGAATGTTCGTAAGTACAGAATGTTCGTTATTCAAACTAAATTCTCTCGAAACAATGTCTAATGTATGTGATTGTTTTAGTTTCGAACCAATATCAAAGCCAATGTACTATCACCAACAAATCAATTATTGGCATTTGCATACGGATATCGTGCCAATTATCCCATCGAAAATGACATAAAAATCAAGCGCCGAGATGTTTATGATAGCATGGAAGAGCTTATCGATCAGTAAGTTGGTAACATTGTTCGAATATTGTTTTCGAAACTGAGAAATTCTTGTATTTTTTAAATTTTAGCCATGGATCATTCAATGGACGTGCCTGTCTTACAAAATTACTGTGCGATGCGTCATCAACAATTTCTGCTGACTCCGGAATGTTTGCTCGTCTCTATCAGTTGATTTTCCGGTTCGTATTCATTTTAATGCGTAAATTCATTTAATTAAAATGTATTCTAACTGAATATTTTCACTATTCATACAGTCTTCCACAAGCAGATGATGAACTATATTCAACGTTCAATGCTGATAAATGCGGAAAGTACTCAGCCGAATGCCCATTGAGACTACTGAAATTAACACCATACACCGATCTTTGATTTCATTAAGAAGTTTCATTTGTATCACTGCAGAAATAAACAAACGAAAATAAAAATTGAACATTTTGTCTGCTTTCAATCCTGTATGGCATAAGAAATCATCTTTTTGAAAAGTTTTGAGTTTCAATTGAAATATGCATACAATCAACTATCATGAAATCAAGTCCACAAATCCACTTATAGTAAATCCTGTAAAACGGAAAACAACACTCTAAATCCCAAACAAGAGAATCACAACTTTGATAAATACGTAAGGCATTACTTGTCCATCATCCGTTGTAAAATGACCATGAACACCGTACATGCCCATTGATCGATATAGAAACAAAACAGCGATGAATAAACAGAAGACGAGAAATGAAGCGTGAAACCAATACAACCGCTGATCACACATGCTTCATGCAGATTTTGTACAACGCTTTAGCCGTGCTCAGTTTGAATTGCGATACGATCGAATGCGGTGGTACACATTTGATTAGGAGTCAACGGTAAGTTGTGAGCGCATTGAACTTTTACTATCCTGTTGATGGATTCTTTCTTCTTCTAAACATATTCCTTCTTGTTCCTCCTATTATTTAACAGCAATTGTAGTAGTTCTCTCATAAGTTGATTGGTTAAAATTGATTTTAGCTTAAATCATGTATCGTCTGGAGTTTGTTTGTTCGCTTGCAATTCTTGCATTGTTTGCATTGAATGTGGTATTCTGTGGAAAGAGTGCTTTATCGGCGTTGGATGAAATGGAGAGCCATCCAAATGACGATACGTCTACAAATATCGATTCTGATTTTCTATTGAACACTGACAAAATTTTAAAACGTGATAAACGGTATCTCTTATGGACCAATGGCGGAATATCAAAGGTAAACTGATGGATAATTTGATGCATTTTTTATGATATATGAAGAGAGATGTATGGGTATGAGTTTTATATCCATTGTAGATAGTGTTGGGCTTTCTGGCGCCGGTCGAAACTCGAGATCGTGTCAATTGGCGAACATTAAATTTGGCGTACAACTATCAAGCGCAATACATCCCGATTCCCAATACCACATTCCTGTGGACTCGTTTTGCGCGCGATTTACGCTCCCAAAGAAAATTGTATGATCAAAATGGCATTTATGCAAGGGATTTTACACGTGAACTGATTTATGGAGCTTTGGAATTGTTCATGGATACCAAAGGGAAACCGGGTCGTGAATGTTTGTTGAAATCAATTTGTGATGCGGCCGAACATCCCATTGTCCATGGCAGCATTTTCGATGAAATCGTTCATCTGATTCTATCGTGAGTACATCAATAATTTACCAAAGAAAGAAATTCACTCTGAAAACTATCCATAAATCTTACAATTCGATTTTTAAAAAAATGGACCGCAGACCCAGCACAGATGAAGCAATCAATGATGATTACAAAAATGCACGATATGCTGGCGAACATGGTGCGGATTGTGGCCAACTCTATCATCGTTGCCAATTCGGAGATGGATTCCTGGATAAATTCTCGTATTTGACATAAGCAGACGACCACATTGTGCATGCAAATGATCGCAAAATGTTTGAATTAGACACCAACATTACAATAAACGGGAAAGAGAGATTTCTATCTATTGTCACATGACCGATTTGTTTTTTTCTGTTTCCGTCTCTCCATTTTTGTTTACTCTGTCCACTTGTTCGCTCTTTTGTTTTAAGAACCAAACCAAATAAACTGATTTATGCAGGCGGGTCGAGTTTATCACGTGGCCAAGCAACATGCATCAATTACAGAATATATATAGTAATTTTGGGATGGCATGATGAAAGCGTTGGTTTGCTAAATCAATTAGAAGCTTAGGAGTACAATGCGATGATCACACTGTGTGGAACTGTGCTCTACTTCATTGTGATGTGTGTATGTGTATAAGTGTGTTGACTGTTGACACAAATTATTTGGAGAAGTGTCGAATCGATGAACCAAAGTAAATGAACCAATAAAAGCATTTTTCATGCTTCAGTATCGATTTACAATCGGAACACACAGGCTATTGATAGCTTTAGAACATATTTATTACCACGTAATTGAGATATTTCATTGGTTTATCTGTTGACACATAAATAAATCACGTGAACAATAGCGAAAAGAATAGAAACTGTGTGAGCGTTTACAAATTTGTTATGGTCAAGTCACTTGACTCAAGTATTGTTTCAATTTCTAAGGAAAATTAGTAAAAAAGAATGATCATGAAATCAAACAAACTGGTTTGCGGCATATTACTATGCCTGTTTTTCAGTGCTAACCTTTACAATCTTGTTGAGAGCCTGATCTGGTCCCGATTTACACTGTTCCAAGTAAATGAACTTTTCTTTGAAACAATTTTATTGGACCACCGCCACTTTTGAATCAACACTAACATTTGCACATTCAATTTTCTTCAAAATAAATATCTTTTAAGGTCGTCTGCTGTGTTTCGTGGCCCATTCCGTACAAAAATCCACTGCGAAAGTTGTTTTTCAATGTTGGATTTCAATTTAACTACGGCGAACCATTTGCACTGAGCAATTTTTATAATGCAACTTATTATCAAAACATTTTCAACAGTCGCGATTTCCACAACGGCCATTCGCCTAACAGCTCAACAGAAAATGCGCACTACAACGATGGCACAACAGAATATTCAACATTAGATACAACAACCGATGGAAATATGGTTAATGGCCGCGTTGAGTCGAGGAGTATCGATGGTTTAGTTGGCAAAGACGTGTCTGCAGCTCAATTATACGAAAGTATTGAGGATAACTTTGTTGAGTATGTTTCATTCAAGTGCGAATTGCAACTTCGACTTTGATTTTGCTCAAATCGATTGAATAAAATGTTATTCAACTGTTTTCAGAATTGGTTATGATAAGAGCTGTTTGAAGAAGGCGATATGCGAACTCGCCCGACATCCATTGCACAAAGAAGATGATGAAGAGCATTTACTAATGGACATCGTCAATTTCGTGTTCACGTAATAATTTCCGATTCGTTGGTTCCTGCTTTTTTGCTAATTTCGATCATATTCCAGGCCAACTGAACACAATGGATTCGCAGAGCATGAAACTTATGAGCGTCAAAAGTACGAAACAGCTCAGAAGATTGGTGAAAACGGTCATGATTGCGATGCAATTTATCCAGAATGCGAGAATTCAATATTGAACAAGTTTTCTTATTTGTTGACAGGATAAAATGCGTTTATTTTCACAAGTCAATCACAGAAAATAAACAAATTCATTTATTTTTCAACAATTTTTCGAATAAAAAAAACTTTGTATTTTTCTTTTCAATTTCTTGCATTATCAGTATCACGGTTTGCGCAACACTCACTCCATCTGCTGTGTTAATGTCAAAATTCAACACGAACGCCAATTTCACCATATTGTTTCATTTGAATTTGACATTTGCGTCGACACACAATCTCATCCACAAAAGTCAATCATCATCAAAAACACTAAATTGTTTTCGTAGCAAAAAATCTTCTCTGTGATACATTAGTGCAGTTTTAGATTGAAATCGAAAGGGAAATTATGTCGCAGCCAACAGCAGGAACTGCTCGTGCACCAGCGGTAAGTGTAGAAATGTGTTTGAATCATGAAATTCGCTCGATATTTGTAATATTTCATTTTTTTTTTTTTAAATAAAGAAAACTGCACCGACAGCAGCAGCACCATCAGCAGCAGCATCGAGTGGTACAGCAGCCCCTGTTCACGTGCAAGAATTTACCGTTCGAATTCCAAAGAACCTCAAAAAAATGCACCACGTGATGCGTTTCAATGCAACACTCAAAGTGGACTTTGCCCAATGGAAAAATGTCAAAATGGAACGTGAAAATAATATGCGCGATGCTCGAGCGATGGAAGAAGAGATGCCAAAATTTGGTGCCGGCTCTGAATACAATCGCGACCAGAAGGAAGAGTTTCGGCGAAAAAAATTTGGCTTTACACCGCGCAAATACAAACAAGGTAAAAGAAAAAATTCTTCTTTTCGTTGCGTGACGAACCACCAATATTGAATGTAATTTCATGTTTAAGATGCTCAACCATGGATTTTGAAAGTTGGTGGAAAATCGGGCAAAAAATTCCGCGGAATTCGTGAAGGTGGTGTCGGCGCTTATGCGTCATTTTATGTTTTTGCACATTCTCCCGACGGTGCTATTGAAGCGTACCCCTTGAATGAATGGTATAATTTTCAACCGATTCAACGGTACAAAGCGCTGTCGGCCGAAGAAGCTGAACAAGTATTTGGTCGAAGAAATAAGGTTATGAATCACTTTTCGCTGATGATGCGGCATCGCTTGAAGGGTGACGAAGAAGGACAAGACGATCCCGAAGAGGCAAAACTGAAATTGAGCGGTAAAAAGGCAAAAGAGTTCAAAATTAGCGACGCCGATGACATCATGATGGTAAGTGTTTGTTCATCGAGTGTTTTCAATATGATTGGTGTCACATTCTCATGTTTGTTGTAATTAGGACTCGGATGATGACAGTGATTCGGATAAGGAGGAAAAGAAAGATGATGATAGTGACGCAGAGTCGAAGAAAAAGAAGAGTAAAAAGCAACCACTGAAAAAGAAGAAGAAGAAAAATGGCAGCGACGATGAAGCATTCGAAGAGTCTGATGATGGTGATGAAGAAGGTCGCGAAATGGATTACATTGAGTCAAGCGATTCAGACGAATCCGATCCTGAGCTACAGGTAACAATGAGATAGAATGGAATATTATTCAATTCCGAAACTTAAAAAAAAAAACCTAAACTTCACACAGATGGTCAAAGAAATGAAGTCGGTCGCGGAAGAAGATGGATTGCGTAAATTGTTAGACTCCGACGAGGAATCCGAAGAAGAAAAGAACTCAAGCGATGAATCAAGCAAAGAAGAAGAGAAGAAAAAAGAGGTGAAGGACAAAGAAACAAAGGACAAAAAGAAGTCAAAATCGAAGAAGCCCAAAGATGGGGACAAAAAAGAGTCGCTCAGTGATTTGAGTTCAGACAGCAGTGATTCAGAGGTTGAATCGAAGAAACCGCGAAAATTGAACGGTAACAGTGCGAATAATTCACGATCGGCATCACCGAGCATGGAAGTCTTGGCCGCTGGCCCAAGCGGATTGAAACGAAAATTACCATCCGATTTGGGATTAGGTGGTAACAGTAACGGTGCTTCTGAAAATAGCAATAGCCCCAACGTTACACCAGCCAAAAAAACAAAATACGATACACCTTCCGTTCCGGCATCTTTTGCTGGAGTCATCTCGAGCAATAAAGAGTATGGCATCTTATTTTTTTTTTAATTTTATATTCATTCAGTTATAACCATTTTGAAAGCGATTCGATTTTTAATCACCATCATCATTTTTACTCTTTCCATCAGTGACAATGGTATCACTGAAGAGGCCGTTAGACGTTATTTGATGCGTAAGCCAATGACAACCACAGAACTGTTGACCAAATTCAAAAATAAGAAAACTGGAGTGACCAGCGACAAATTGGTGGAGACAATGACACAAATTCTCAAGAAAATCAATCCGGTCAAGCAAACCATTCAAGGAAAAATGTATCTTAGTATTAAAAACAAATAGAGAATGGTCAACAGCCGAAAGAAGAAAAAAAAAAACTTTGCAATTATTTGCTGGTCGTGCAAATAGGCAATGGTGTTGCTAATATAAAATGCTAAATTATATTTTTGTTCTAATGAAAGAAAATAATAAATGAGCTACACAACTCGTTAATACGAAGACACAATGTTGTTTTATTTGGTTGCGGCATTTTGTGCCGAATATACTCTGCTGAACTGAGCTCGAAATCGGTTAAGAATGCATTTTACCCATTCTCATCGGCCGACTGAACATGATCTGTAAAAATGGTCGAACGAATTAAAACAAATGGCATAAAATTGATTCAATTTTATTACAAATTGTTCATTTATTCTGTAATCATAATTAATTTAATTTTGTCTATATATAAACCATTTTGCCTTATGCCTATTAATATTGTTGCTGTTTCCATTTCTTTTCATCTTTGCTAATTACAAATATCTAGTGAGTCAAAATGTCGTCGAATCGTGAATCAATTCGTCGATTGTTTTCGCCTTCAATCATTTGTTCTGTTTTTGCTATGAGGGCGATTGAATAAAATTAAATTAAAAGTGTATGCAGAGTGTAAGGAAAAAATTACAAAAAGGTAAGAATATGCGTTTGTTTTGTGTCTCACGAGGTGATGCGGACATGGTTGTGTCTCACACACACACCCGCCATCGTTTACACTGCTAATATATATATATTTATAAATATGTTGTTTTATTGTTCCATTCATTGAACGGATTAATTCATATCTGGTTTTTGTGTGTTATCCTGAATGCCCATTCTCCATTCACGCAAACAAATACCGAAAAAAATCAATAATTAATGACATCGGTTTGGTTCAGTGCTTGTGTTTTTTTTTTTAGAATTGTGCCTATCAGTAAAAATGTACATACATCATTCATAAACAAAAATTGGATTAGTTACATTTGTTCTGCGATTGTTATTTTTTCTTTAATTTATTTTCGTTACTCTAATTTCTGATGTTCATTTTATTTAAGTTCACTCCTATGCTCACTTTACTAAATTATTTTCATCACTTAAAATGTACTCCTTGTTTTCTTTCATTTTCATTTATACATATTCTAAAATTGTGTGAATCAACGTGCTGATTTTATTTTTTTACATAGATGGTTGTTGTTTTTCTTTCTTTTTCACTAAGTATGTGTTGCTACGATTTAAATGAACCAATTTTTCATTGTTGATGTATTATGCTGTTTATAATTTAAATTTGTTGGAGATTAAAGATAAAGTCCATTGTTGTTGTTTTTTTTTTCTTTTCAGTTTTATAAAATTTGTTATCTTATACGTATATATGAGAGATGCGGTTTTTATTTAGTGGTTTTTGAAGTACGTTTGATAAATTTCAATTCGCCATTGGAATCATTTGTTTTTTTTTTGTGTGTGTATGTGTGTGTGATTGTATGAAAATGATCGATTCCGCTAGATATAAATTAAACTCAATCGAACTATAAATGTACATAGATGATGACGCCAGAAATATAAATAAATTGGACGAAATATTCAATCTTATTTCGTTGAACAAAATTTTTGTTTTTTTTTTTCGTTTGGTTTTATGGTCTCTTGGTTGCCCGTGATAAAATTCGCATTCTTAAAAATTAAAATACTCATTTTTTTCCCTCCAAAATTGGTTTGTGGGTGTGATTTTTGTTATATGTTGCCTTTGGATCTTATGTAGTATTAGCCTAATTTTGGGATATGTGGTGCCTCTTCGTATTGTTATTTCATTCCCTTGATCTGTCGCAAACTCTAGTGCGAATATATACAACTTGTTTATCATTTCTTTTCTAGAATTGTTTTTTTTGAGCCAACTTTAGTACATTTTAAACACTCCTATATAGTTTAGTCACGTTTCAGTTTGCAGCCTGTAAGATATTTCCTGTATGACGTCGTTTTTTTCTATCAATAAAAATATTTACACACGACGCATATTTACTTTCTAAACGCCTTGTCAATATTGTTGTGATTGATGTGAATATTGACTGCCCTGTTGTCGCTGTAGCTGTGCAAGCAGTGCCGGTGTTTGCATTCCTAATCCCTGCGTTTGCTAGATATGACACAAACAAAATGATTAAAACGTGGGTTTCACAACTAATTCCATTGGTATGAATGCTTCGATAATTACCTGTTGCTGTTGAGGCTGCTGATTGAAATTGCCTCCCATCATGCCTGCAATTAAGACAGTTCAATTAAATTCCCGACTCTAAGGAAATCGCTCAAGGTGTATAGAGGTTGTGCATACCTTGTTGCTGTTGTTGTTGTTGTTGCTGCTGCTGTGCCTGCTGCTGCTGCTGTTGTTGCATCAGCAATTGTTGTTGACGCAATCGCTGCTGTTGTTGTTGGAATTGTGCTGCTTGCGATGATAACATTGGCTTTCCGCCAGGGCCCATTCCACCCATGTTCATATTCGGGTTGCCTGCATTCATATTGTTGCCGGCATTCATGTTTGGATTTCGATAAGGTGGTGCTGGGCCTTGTGGCGTTTGATTCATGGCCATGTTCGGCGGAAATTGACCCATGCCTCGTGCACGCTGCTGAGCTAAAAGTTCGGCTCTTTGCGTCGCAGACATTTGATGCAAATTATTCATATTCACATTTACTTGGCTCGATTGCTGTTGAGCTTGTGGATTGGATAGGCTTTGCTGAAGCGTTTGCTGCATCGATGGATTCAACATTTGACTCTGGCCTTGTTGATTCTGCTGCTATGCGTTAAAATAAAGCGATATCATATGGTTTAATGTATTTTCAAATTCAAATTCGGTATGATACAGAAACAAGGGAAGGTCTTACCTGTCGCTGTTGAGCAATTCCACCACCACCACCGCCGAACATATTGTTTCCGCCGATTTGCTGTTGGTTTTGTTTCATTTGCTGCAATGCATTTATGTTGCCGGCATTCATGCCCTGATTCATCATCATCGAAGCGTTTTGGTTTTGTTGACGCTGCGCAATATTCTGATTCGGACCCATGCCCATGTTGCTGGCAGCTTGCTGTGCCATGCCAGCTACCGGTTGATTCATCATTGTGTTGGCCGATGTTGAGGGCAAATTGGCTGCATTTGCATTTGCCATCATATTGCCACCTGAAATGGATGGTGAATGTTTTTCTGTATACAATGTATTTCAATAGAAGAGAAATCACTATTGAATCTTTGGGAAAAACAAGTCACTTTCCGCGTTACTCACCTCCCATGATTCCGGACGGTTGTGCTGGTGTTGGTTGATTACCTTGGCCATGCATTGGTCCTTGCACATTGGGATTCATTTGATTGGCTTGTTGTTGTTGCTGCTGCTGTTGCTGCTGTTGTTGCTGCTGCTGTGTAATGATACAACATTTCTTTATTCAACTCATCGAAAATCATGTATCATTGTTCGAACACATTCGAAAAGTATCAAACAGTACATAAAATAAAGAAACTGAAATTGAAAGTCGAATTGTACCTGTCTTTGTTGAACCATTCCACCGCCACTCATCATTGGATTGCCAATGTTGTTAATATTCATTTGGTTTGTTTGTCCAGCAGCGGCGGCGGCTTGAATTTGTGCCGGATTCACATTTCGCATTCGCATCATTTGTTGTTGACGCTGCTGAATGTTAAATGGTATTCCGCTCATATTGCCTTGCTGCTGTGGATTGTTAGCAGTGTTCATGAACGATGTCGGATGCCGTTGGCGTAGCATCATTGTCAATGCCTGTTTTGATTGATTCATTTGCGGTCGCTCGAATCGGTTCATGCCAGCATTTTGATTGAAGAATTGTTGCGTCGGTTGTGATGTGTTTGTCGATTGACTTTGAGCGGATGCTCCCTGCATTTGGTTCATTTGATTGAAGTTCCATTGCTGTTGTTGCTGCTGCTGTTGTGACTGTTGTCCACCCATTTGCTGTGAGTGTCCCATTCCCTGCGATTGGTTTATAGCTTGACCTTGATTTTGCATTGGATTGTTTTGCATTGGGTTATTTTGCATGGAATTATTCTGAATCGAGCTGTTCGATTGAGTTGGCTTAATATTTGGCTCCATTTGCTGCTGCTGCTGCTGCTGCTGTTGTTGTTGTTGTGCCTGCTGTTGTTGCTGCTGCTGTTGAGCCAATTGACTGAGCTGCTGTTGACGTTGAGCTTGACTAAGCTGCTGCAAATTGGGCTGAGGTTGTGTTTGAGGATTATTCGCTTGATTTACTTGTTGTTGTTGCGGCATCACACCACCTGAAAATCACGAACAATTCAAATTTTCCTTTCCAAATGTACGATTTCACGGCGACACTTACCGCTGTTCATCATCGACGTTTGCATATTTCCGGAATTGAATGGCATACCACCGGCGGCCATATTCGATTGCATGGTAGCTTGACTCATCATAGAGCCGTTTACGCTACCGGTCACCGTAGGATTTCGCATATTTCCAGCCGTCGATATATTCGGTATATTCGTTTGGCCAACATTCGATGCACTGCTTTGAATTTGCTGCATCTGCTGGAAAATAAAAAGAAGAAATGAACATCATATGAATTAAAGCGATTTTTTTCTTTTATCTACCTGTTGCTGCTGTTGATTTGCCTGTATTTGTTGGAATTGTTGTTGAACATTTGGATTCATTTGATTCTGGAAGTAGAAAATTGCAATTGAAGTTTATAATGTATCAATCATGAATTTTCGACTTTTTTCAGCCATGGTTTATTGGACCAATTAACTCACTTGCATGTTCATTTGCATTTGGTTCATATTTTGTGAATTCATCTGAGCATTGTTGTTCATCTGGTTCATTTGATTGTTCATTTGGCTATTCATTTGATTTCCCATCTGATTGACCATATTCATTTGATTTGTTTGTTGTGCATTTTGTGCTTGGCCCATCGTTTGTTGCAACGATTGTTGCATTGATTGTTGTGAGTTCAATATTTGATTTTGGTTTTGTTGCTGCTGCTGTTGTTGTACTTGCTGTTGTTGTACTTGCTGGTGCTGTTGCTATTGTAGAAAGTGAAAAAAATTTGAATAAAATAATAAAATTCCAATCTCATTGACATTGCATACCTGTTGTTGATGTTGTTGTTGTTGTTGATGTTGTTGTTGCTGCTGCTGAGCTTGTTGCTGTTGCTGTTGTTGCAACATAAATGCAAATTGTTGCTGTGAATTTTGCTGCTGATTGGGCATTTGATTGCCCGGATTGTTTCCAGTGTCCATTGGAACACCGGCTTGTACAACCTGATTTACCACCTGATTCATATTGCCCTTGGCTGATATCGGGAATCCGGATTGCTGTTGATTTTGCTGAATAAATTGTTGCACTTGTTCAGATTGCTGATTTTGTATTTGTTGCTGCGCCTATAAAGACAATCGAGCGTTATTAAATGAACATAATTTGGAATGAATTATTTCAATCAAACGAAGGCGATTGGACAAACACAAAAGGCATTGAAACTCACCTGCATCTGTGCTGCTGCAGCAACGGCCGCAGCTGCAGCGGCAGCGGCAGCAGCAGCCGCTTTTGTCGGTTTCTTCTGGCGTTTGCCCTGAGGCGGTGCCGACACCTGTTGTTGTGTTTGAACATTTGGAATGCTTGGCGATTGTTCAATTGATGATGGTGTATCAATCTTTGGAATATCCTGGGAAAATCAATTTGAAATTTTTAAAACCGCATCAAATGAGAATTAGAATTACAAAAAATAGTCATTCACAGAAGAAAAATTAACGTACCATTGGAACCGAAGCCATTGAAGTGCTTGGCATATTGTTCATATTCATAACGAGATTGGTGTCCTCCGGCGGAAGAGTTGGTGTTGGTTCTTTCATCGTTATTACTAGCGGCTCGTAGAAGAATGTTCGTGGTTTGGCCAAATTGTGCGTATGATATTTTAATAAATCAAATCCTCTTTCATATTTCATGGGTCTTCGTTCCATTTTTACAGCACCGAACCAGGCCCATGAAAGTGGCGCCGGATTTTTGCTATTTCCTTCAATCAAATCCCATGTGTTGACTTTTTGTTTTTCCGTTGCACGTAATCCAGGCACTCGATCGATTAAATCAATGCCAGGATATTGGCTCTTTTCGTTCGATTCAACTGCGATTATGTGACGATGCATTCGAACAATGGGTAACAGCTGCCGTACACTTTGCTTTGTACGTGATGCTTTCTCGCCAATTTCCTTGCGAACCTTCTTCACCAAATTCATAAAATGTTTCTTATTTTCGTCGCGTTCGTACGGATCGTGTGCCAGAGAAGCGTGAATAATTGTGGTCAACATATCGTAAACGGTGCCATACAATGATCTATTTGGAATATGAATAGTTTTCAGCAATCGATTAGCATAAATTAGAATGAAATGATGATATTAAGTTGAAAAAAAAAACTCACGTATTAGTTTGAAAATCAATAACTCCATTGCACATGAGTTGCGCCAAAAGAACTGACCAATCTGTTGTAATCGATAAACTGCGATAAATGCCATCAAATAGAGTTCCAACGAGTGACAATCTCAAATCCAATGCTTCAATCATTTCGGGCTTTGCTTCGGGATGCGCAAGGTAATTGATATCCACCTTCTGTCAAATGAAATCCGCTATTAAAACCGATTCACTCCCTAAATGTAATTCCGCTAAACTTACTTCTTGGGCACTTTTGACGAAATGCACCAATTGTCTGTGCAGCGATGACAACAGCACGTCTCGTTGGTCTTCGTGCCCTTTCAAGCAGTTCAACAGCAAATTGAAGAATTCTCTATACGCCAGCTTGGCCGGTTGTGGATAGAAGAATTCATCTTCACTGTCATCTCCCTGTTGGTCGTCTTTGTTTTCGCTGTTTTTTTCATGAAATAACGTATTTAGTTTGAGGATCGCAACTCATTACGCACTTCAAAAATTGTGAAAATTGTTTGAAATTACCTCTTGTTGTCGTTCTCATCATCTTCATCGCTGTCTTCTTCGTCTTCCTCATCGCCGCTATCCTCGTCGCTTTCGTCTTCCTCTTCGACGTGTCGATAGACGATGAAAAAGTTCATTTTCTCCATTAGTTGACCGGCCACTTTGATTATTCGAGCCTGCACACTGCCAGGCAGTTTTGCAAGCAACGGAATCACACACCATATGCCTGGCCCATGCTCCGGAACTTTTGGTCGTTCATTTTTCAGTGGTTTTATTTCACCCGGCTTCGTTTTCTTTGTGGGTTTTCTGTAATAGGACAAAAAATGTTTGACCATTATCGTTACAAAAAGACTCATCAGCATTCTAATTGAGCCTGAAAAAGATGTACTTACTTCGGTTTCTTCTGTTTTGGTGTGTAGTAAATTTCAACAGCTGATCGTGCGACAGCGTCCAGATATTTGTTGGTTTCCGAGACAGTGTTGCTAGATTGTTTGTGCATTAGTTGCAAATTTATACTCAAAATTGGCATATTCCATCGATCCAGAATCTGGAAGAATCTCTGAATGGTTGTGCTCTGATCCATCGAATGTAGTTCAGACGCTTCAACGTCAGGGAAGCAGATTAATTGTAACAACCGTTGTGCTTGCTTCGATGTTAACAATGGATCGATTAACATGCCGTTTTGGCACAGATCATCGGCATTTTGGAGGATTCGTTCCAACACCCATTCTTGATACGCGATTTGTTTCAGCACATAATCGGCGAATTCGGATAAACTTATTGGCGTCTCTTGACTGCGTAACATAATTATTCAGTTAGAATCAAGTTCAAATCGAAAGGAAAAAATTAACAAAATACTTTTATGTACTTACGTTGTGTCCTGCATGGAAACATCTTCATCATTTGCATTTGTACCCAGTTCACTGGTGCCAAGTATGTGACTTATATCAATTGAACCCGTTTTTGTTGCTGGTTGACTGGATGTTTGGCTTGCGGACGGTGTTGAATCTAAAAAATCAAACCCATCAAAATGATCTCCACCTCCTTCTCTGGGAAATGCTACTCAAAATACTTATAGTATACACTACTTACTTGCGCTTGTGTTTCGGTTACCACGTTTATTCGAAGCTGGTTGTTTTTGATTTTCTGGATTCATTGCATCGCCCACCACTAAGATACCTTTCAAAACCGCTAAAACTGGTCCGACCGCCAGATTTTTATGAGTCGCTGCCAACAAGTGCCGATCACAACTGAATTTTATATTTAACTGAGGTCCTGGAATTTTGATTGGGCATTCTATCACAGGCATTCCATATAGAGACGGTACGGGCAATTCAACAGCTTTACAAAGTCGAAACAACAGATGACACGATAATCGAGCACCAGCTTCGGCTCCTGCCGATATCTCACGACCACCTTTGCATGCATTGACCAAAGCCGGCAGTGCAATGTAGAAAATGAACTTTTCAAGGGAGAAACAACGACGGGCTGCAATGGCATGCAAAGAGACAAAGAGGTTAGAAAATGAAAAAAAAAATCGATTCTAAAACTGAATTGATTGTTATCGAATCAAACTTACCAACTAAAATCGAAACAAATACCGCCAACGAATTGTGAATGGCAACTTTTTGTATGTCTATGTGTTCGGGGATGTGTGCATAAAAGCCATCATTGCTTGAGCCACACAAAGCAATGAATGCACCCAGCCACTCTGAGCTCAACGAATTGCAGTGTGCGGTGAATTCAGCGCACATTATTGAAATATCATTCAATCGATCGTTATCTGTTTCCCGGCTGATTGCAATCAGTGCATTGCACACAAAACTATAACGATTCTCCAGGCTTTCGTTCAGTATGCGTCCCCAAGTCGGATCGATTTTTCCACCTCGTGGTGGATTCACAAAAATTTCCATCATAAACGCTTGATTGTAGTAGCAATCGGCTGGCATTGGTTGAACGGCCGCAGCAACCATTTGCTTGACTTTGGCATAAATATTGAAGAAGGTTTCACTTGCCGGTGGTTTTGATTTGAGTAATGAACACGATGAATACAGATCGAGTAGATAAGTTAAAATGCATCGTTCAGCTGATGCGCATTCACTTGGATTTGTCACGTGCTTCACTGTACGACACAATCCCTCGAAAATTGGCAGTACCTGATCATAAGACACTGAAACGGATCAATTTCTCGGTTAGACACAATGAATTTTTGTCGATTTAGAGTACAAAGAAGAAAACTTAAAATACTCACATAAAAGGCATCGATGGTATCGTCGTAGCACACCCACAACATACAAGCTCAACGATGTCGTATACGTTTTCACAAAGCTCGAATGCATTTGCACGAGCTGAGATTCAACTTGAGGCAGTTTTTTCATGATCGATATACACAAATCGATTAGTCCATAAATGTTGTTGCAGGCTTCCATTAAATCAAACAAATACGCCACATGCTCTTGCACGGGCAAATAATTGTAAGAACCACTCGAAAAGCTGCCAAGCATTTCGAGAATGGTTGCCGCGCATTGCCACGTTACCATATGCTGATCAAAGTAGGTCATCGATTGGAAACGGGTCATTGTCGCCTCGAGATTACATTCCGTACGCGATTGTTTCTTCACTTTGCCACCCTCATTCATGTCCATGCTGAATTTCTTCGAGTACAATTTGCTAATCTCTGTGGATTGGATGGTTCCGTTTTTATGTGTTTTTTTTTTTAATTGTTCAATAACGAATTGAATATAGAGTTAAATATGTGAAAAATGTTGTGACATACCTTTTGCCATCTTCTTAACGGCATGCTTCTTTTCATCACGCTCTTTTCCAACGCCAAATAACAAAATGTAACGTTGATTGCAGTCATGTTGTGAAATTGTATCGCCTTGATACAATGGAAAATGTGTGGTGTACAGATAGTGTCTGGATATCTTCGGTTGATCATCATCCTCCTCGTCGGCGATGTCCGATTTGTTGCTAAAAATCAATCCATCATTATCACTCAATTCGCTTGCAATGCGTTATAATCAGTAAAACTTACTCGTTATTTGTGTTTGGTTCGATTTTCGGGCTATCTGTGGCATCCATTAAGTCTTGTTGATCATTTTTGATATTCTGTAGAATCTTATCCAAATCGTCATCCACATTGCTATCGTCGAGTTCTTCGATTTTCGGCTTGAATTCCATGGGTGGTAAAATGTCATCGCCGACACGTGAGGCAGGTGTTGTGGGTGGAAGCGTTGCAATCGTTGGCGGTGGTACTGCCATTGCATTCGAATTGACTGTCGGTGTGTTGGCAATGTCATTTGAATGCACCGGCAACGTTAGCAGTTCACCGCGCGATATTAGCGTACACATGTAGGCGTCATGCGAAAAAACGTCATGGCGAATGAGTTCGCAGAATAAATGCACCAAATTTGTGAATTGTATCCTACTTTGATCGGTGCAATTTTCTTCGAGAACAGGTGCATCGTGATCCAAAAATGCCATCAAGTTGCGTTGGAAGATCGGTAGGCCGTTATAAAAACCGACTGAGTCATTTGAATCGGCATCGTCAGCTGGACTGAGTGAATCAACGGCCGTTATATCTGATTGCCGTTTTTCCAATAGCCATGCAACAACCATTGCGCGATGTTCACCGAAGCGTTGATGCGAAACGGCCCATTCGCACAATACTTTGACGATTGGTTCATCGATTCGAGCCATGTACGTGATGCGCGTCTCTTTCACTTTGCCATTTACAAAAGTCTCCTGCAAGTATAAGAAATACCGAGTTAATATAAAATACGTTGTATCGAAATTAAATCACTCGTTACTCACCTGTTTCATCACCTTATCGATGGGTTGAAATAGTTTAGTGTAGAGTGATGCTAAATTATTGTTATTTCCATCGAGCCGATCAAAGTAGTGTGCATCCAAAATACTCAATGTGTTCAGGATAACCTCATTGATTTGGCCATCGACGGTTTTACGCAGCCATTTGTCGGCAACCCAACGTTTTTCGGAATGTTTCGAACGTTCTATGATTTGCTGTTCGACTTCGCGAAGACGCTTTCGAATCAGGTCATTTTGTCGTCGATTATACGATGGCATTGGTAACTGTGATGGTAGAACCGGCATATATTCCAATGGACCACCGGCTAACGGTGTTATCGAATCACGTTCTTTCCCCGATAGGCCACACCATACTAGAGCACCCGGGCAACGTAGTGTGATTGCTTGAATCATTGCACTCAATTCCATGATGACCGGTCGATGGTGTTCGCACAGTAAAAAGTCACGCAACATTGTTTCCATGAATTGTATCGATGGTTTTTGTCGATGCTTGATTACGCCAAGCGATTGGCTCTTTGTTGAAATGGTTTGCGAAACAGGTTGCACGGCACTCGTTCCAATGGGCATGATCGATGTTGTGTTTGACGAAACTGATGGTGGTGAAGCGGTCGGTGGTGAGACTGTTGGTGGTGTTTGTGATGAAAGTGGTTTGGATGCGGGCGAAGTCGAAGACGATGAGTAGGGACGTGCACCAAAGCTTTTTCGATCTTGGTTGGTATTTGGTCGTGCTGGCAAATAGTTTGAACCGAGTAAACTTTTCGTCGACAGCACATCTTCGGGGCTATCCAATGAGGCGGTGCTCGGTGAAGCTGGTGCTGACAACGGTGGTGGTGTTGGTGGATCCATTTTATTAATCTTTTTGTATCGTGTGCTGGCTGAGCGTGTTGACAGAGGTGCACGAATTTCGGGCTCCTGTTTGATTTTCAAACCGGCATCGAAGCGATTCGTTAGGTTGGCATCACAACACGATGTTGAAGATGTTGGTGGCGGTGGTGGCTTTTTCATGTTCACAGCAATTGCATCTTCTTCGGTAACATAGTGCAACATAAAACCAATCTTCTTACATACTAAATAGGCTAGGCGTCGTGACAAACGCTCCGATTCAACAATGTATGGCAGACATTGCAAAATGAACGGCATAAAAAGTTTCAAGAATCCATCATCACTGGATTTGTTTCGCATGCGATCGAGAAGTTCGAGAGCCCATTGCAAGAATTCATGACGATCGAGCAGACTCTCTTCGCACATCGCTCTGCACAATCGTGTACAGTATTTCCAGTGTCGGAGCGTGGTTGCAAAATCTTCGACGGGATTGAAACTGCCCGGTGTTGTTGGTACGGCTGGTGTGATGAAGGTGTGATTGCTTGAACTACTACTACTACTGCTGCTGCTGCTATTGCTGCTGGCACTAGTCGCACTTACGTTCGGCGTTTCACGGCCACTCGATGAAAAATTCGAAAAATTGGTTGTACCTGTCGTGGGTGATTCAACACTTGTGTGCTGTTGCGATTGAAATGGTTGACCGGCATTCGGTTTACCGCTCAGCAATGTCTTCGAAGACGATTGATTTGGGCGATTCGCAGGCGAGACAGTGTTTGTGGTTGACGTCGATGGGCTGGTTGACGCTTGAGTCGTGCTACTTTTCTGTTCACCTTCTTCCGTGTTTGAGGGTTGATTTGGATTTTCGGCCGATTTTTCATTGAGCCGTTGCTTTGCCCGTTTTTTGGCACGTTTTGCGAGTATATCGGCGATTATTTGACTAATTGAAGGCAGGCCATGTCGCTTTCTCATTGCCAATCGTTTTCTCACCACTTTCGATCCGATGCGATCCTTTGCATCAACACTGCTCGCATCTTCTGATCCCGATTTAATTGTCGATGCGACGCCAGGAATATCGGTCGGATTGGTCGCTAGATCTGGATTTGTGCTCCCATCACTGGTGCCCGGTTGTTGTTGTTGCTGCTGCTGTTGACCGAGGGCCGACTCACGTTTGACTCGAGACGCTGCTTTCATTCGAGCCACTCGCAGCGTGTGCTTTGCCCGTTTCGCGGGCGGAGGTCCCAACATTGATGCTTTTCGCTTCGTTAATTTCAATTCACGAAATCGAATGTCTTTCATAAGCGATCGGTTTAGCACTTTTTCACGCAAACTCTTCACCTTTGCCGTCGATTTCCCGTCGGCCATTGATGATTTATCCTTGTTGATCATCGCACTTTTGTCTTTTGTACACTTGATTTGCGTCAGCTGTTTGTCCACCGAGCATCGATTGCATTTTACATTCGACGCTGATGATGTTGATGGTCCACTTGTAATTGCCGCCTGTTGTGTGCTTATCACTTTGGGATTTTTCTCCAGCGTATAATGTTCGACGAGTTTTTGTGACAAGTCCTTCATGACCTTTATCACGGTTGCAGTCCATTCGATGCTTGGATCAGGCATTTGGCGTTTTTTGATTTTTTGTTCAGTCACTGTGGTTGTGTATGCGGCACTCAATTTTAAAAACCACATCGCCTTTTTCATGCTCACTTGATGATCGCATAAATATGTGAAAATCTCCTCTTTCTTATTGAACGACGGAGCCTTTTTCGCGAGATTGGCCAACGGTTTGGTGCCGGCCAAATCACGAAACCACATATCAAGCACACCTTTACTGCGGCCTGTTACAGGCCAAAAATTATCCTTCACATTGATCTGCTGCTTCTTTCGGCCATTGTCCGGCAGCGTATTCAATTCATTACGCTTAGCTGGAATTTGTTTTTGTTGATCGAAAAAATGAGAATTTTAGTAAATTACACAAGCAACATAAAAACAAAAGCAAATGGTCATTTAGAAAAAAAAAAAAACACTTACAATTGACCGAAATGCAGAACATGTTGAGTCGCTGCAACGAGATATTACTGTTGCGCGCCGTTCCAAATTCCTCGGAAATTTGTTGTAGAGCCTGAAAGCCATTTTTCACGTTGCTCGGATTCAGTTCATCCTCACGTTGTTTGGGCTCTTGTGGATAAACGTCCGGCACACCAAATCGAGGCCGTTTTAACGGCCTCGGCTCTGGTGCAATGTGATTGTATAACATTTTCGGTGTGTTTACTACTTATCCAGACATTCATGAAAACTTGTTTTTGTTTCGGTTTCGGTTAGCCTTTTATTATTATTGAATTTAGTTATCGAGCTTCGGTTTGCATTTGCTACGCGAATATTAACACGCAACTTTTTAAATTATGCACATTTCTTCGGTTCGATTATTATTCAATTTATTTTTTAAAGAAAAAAATGCATCCATAGAGAATACACAAATCCAAAATATACAATAAATTTTTCCCTTTTTGTAACGCGACGCGTACGGTGGCGACGAATAAGCGCAAACGGAATGAAATCGAGCACAAACGAAAATTAAAACAAAAAAAAAAAAACTAAAAAATATGTATTAACTAAAGAAGACAAGAAGAAAACTTTCAATCAATGCTTTTGTAATGTTATTGTTGTTGCTGTTGTTGTTGCTATTATACGGTCACTGTTCGCCTGTATGTATGGTTTGTTGCAGCACCATTATTGTATATTCATATACACAACACACGAACACAAACTAGACCCGAATGAAAATATAAAGCAGCTCGTTTTCGCTTTGCGTCGTTCTCTCTTACTATATTTGTATATCCATGTGAGTTGAGAGTATGCATCTGTTTCACTTCACTTCATTTTTCTGTCGTTTTTTTTGCACCCAAACATTTGACTTTCGTATTATATATGGATTTATATGTACAGCTCACTCTTTCTATTGCCGTCGCTTCAGTTTTTTTCTTTCAATTATAAAAATTTGTTTAGCTTTTTCATAAGAAATACCGATGATTCCCCATATACACAATGTATTTTCTTCTTTTTGATGAGACTAGGCCTGAATTTCACTGTAAAATAAAAAAAAAAAGAGAAAAAAACACACACTTCGATTAGTTCACCGCACAATTCAAATTAGAGCATCAATCCATTCGATCTGTATTATTTGAATACACATGCATTTTTGCTCATTTTTTATTGATCGAATGCGATAATAATAAATAAATAATTTTCAAGTTCAACTTGATCATCTGAGAAATGACTAAATTTTTTTTCTTTCTCATTCGGTTGCAATTGGGTAGAGGGAATATTTGTTTGTTTTATGTGTCGTAAAAAGCCACACACACTGAATTGTGAATAAAACGTTGCTGTTTTTTTTCTGTCTCTGATTCAAGCATATAATTTCACGTTTTGAGCTGGCGATACACAGTCATAAATCAACCATCTGTGCAAGCCATACGCGCAACGGTTGCAATCAAACGCAAGACAGAGACAACAAATAAATACCGAAATGAATGTATAATTTCACATTGAACGTATTTGATATTGTCACTCAGCGTTACACTAGCGCAATAAACTAATGCATTAGCAATTCTTTCAATTTCTTTATTTGCTTCTTTTTATTATATGGAACTCTTTTTTTTATCATTTTTTTTTCTTTTTCTCGCTTTATTTTCATGTCACGAAGATCATTTAAACGGCAACAAAAAAAATAAAATGTACAAAAAAAACTTTCGATACACACACGCACAAAAACACATACAGTGCCAATCGAAAAAAAAAAATATTGACTCTCCGTCACTGTAAGATCTCATACGTCGCCAGAAGAGAAAAAAAAAAACTATACACACACAAACTATCAATGCGAAACGTTCGTGAAGTCATTATTTTGGTTATTTCCATCGAATGCAAAGTGTTTTCACGGCTTTATTTTTGTGGATATTCTTTGGCATTGTATGAAATATTTGGGAATTTCCTGTCGGAAAAACTCAAACACAAACAGACTGTTTTTCCCATTCTGCGCGTTTCCACCGCAGATCTAGATTTATGTGTGGCACAACACAAATTTCATGGCTATTTCCTACACTTTTCTCATTTCATTCACTGGCTGGACAATAAAGAGAAATGCAATTAAACAAAATCCGCGCACTTACGCACAGTTTCCACATTTGATTGAATGAAAGGAAAAAAGACGAAGACATCGACAATTTAAAATAAAAACCGTCTCACTCTCTCAGAATTGAAGACGAACAAGAAAGACACCAGAAGAAGAAGCGAAAGAAGAAAAAAGAATTGACACACGAAATTCCCATTAAAAACACATAGAGTGCCCAGTATGTTTGTTACATTTGTATTGCATTCCTCACATTTGCCTTTCAGATCGGTCGATTCATCTGCTTACTTTTGCACTAAATGAAAATTTCTCGATTTGTACTAAATTTAATTACACTTTGAAATTGCGAACTGGTGCTAGATACCGTGAAATCAACAAATTTTTTAACAGTTTTTCTTTATGTACACACACTAAAAGTCGACAGAATGGAAGTTAATAATCTGTCAGCCATTTTTCGCGTTATTTCGTTTTTTCTCTCTTCTTTCATTAGTTCGATGTTTTTTTTTTTCTTCTCTTCTTCATGTATGTTATACTGCTCTCTATCTTGTAATTCGCTCTACTCGTGTGTCTATGTATGGTGAAGTATTTTTCATTCTGTGTTGTGCCGTCATTCACATTCATTGGATTGGTTCCCCCGTTGTGATGCTGAATCTATCGCGTGTGTGCGTGCGGCGTGCATGTAGTTGTGTATATGCGTAATGAAGGAACCAAATGTCAAAATAAGACTTTCAATAAACGAATTCGAGGCGAATTCACGCGCACTATCAAACATGCCAGCCAGTTTTATGAGGTGCTCACTTTTTCGTTGTTGCTCTTCTGCTGCTGCTGCTTCTTCTCCTTCTTCTTCTTATTCTTCTCTCTCACTCTCTTGTTGAATTTGTGTATGTATCGATGTGCGTTAGTTTTCATAACATATCGTCTCGATGCGATGGGGTCTCCCATCCAAATGGAATGTAAATGTATTTTGAATAGAGTTTGTGTGTTGTCGATTGTTTTTTTTCTGCCTCTTCTTTCTTTCTTTCTGTCTTTTCGGTTGTTCACTTCATTCTTTGTATATTGTTTATAAATTTTTTCTTCTTCTTTCGGCGCTGGTATTGTGTATGCATTTCATGCCTTTTGACTCACCGTTAACCAGCTTCTTCCATCGTACATACAACGATTTTGTGTTTCGAATATGTGTAGTTCTGTTGCTTTTCCTTCGTTCACTTTTCTTTGAGTCGAAATGAGGCTTAGTTTATGAATTCCGCTTTATTTCTTTACAGCATACAAGTTTTGGTCGATTGACCAATGATCATAGGCTTGAGCCACATACTCATCTTCAACTCCATCTTCACTTGTTGGCAAGCTTTGCGACGATCAACGAAAATTCGCCACATTTTTGCCATTCTCTGCGACAATAACTGTGTCTGTACACTGCACGATTGGCCAAAGCTCTCTTCCCAAGCTGGCAGCCAGTTGAACTCGATTATGACCTTTGCTTGATTTTCTTTCTGTTACGCTTTCGCATTTTCTGTTTCTATTTTTTTTGGTCCGCGCAGAGCTCCAGCCCATTGTTTTCTATATGCGTGGGAAACGAAGCATCATAAAGCATCTATTTTAAACAAATGAACCGAAGAACCATTCACGTTCGCAATAACATCTACATAAATAAAATAGTACAACACATTTCCGATTCGATGCAATTGCAGAATAAATTAGATTTTACCGAGAAATTGGTTCGCATTTTCTCAATTTCGCGAATTTTCTCAACCAAAGATGTCGAAATTGCGACTCATTCTCATTTGTTATTCGACGGTTTGAAGACAAGGTTCAATGAAACGACTGCTATGATTCAAATGTTCGAGAGGTGACACTTTCTGTTCAATGCACCCTGTGCGAATGAAACAGAAAACACAGAGGAGACGAGACGAGACGAACCAAAATGTCATTTCTATATTCACCACATTTCTCCACGCAGCGAAAGAAGAAAAAAACACACCATTAGCAGTGTTCACATCAAAACAACCATCGCATCGCATAGCAAAGACTAAAAAGTTTGACATTTGAAAATAATACAAAAGAAACGGCGACCATTGTTTACAATCGACATTGGGCTGTTGAACTGTTTAACCTCAAATGTCAGATGCATCGTTGTGCGGTGGAAATAAAATCGCGCTAAAACCCACGACATCACCACAACAAATATTTTTTTTATTGTTTACATCGGAATCGATTGAAAAGCCAATTGTAGAAAATGTCAGAGGATATTATTGAAGACGATTATCAACTGAGTGATGAAGAAGAAGAGCCCATTACTGCACAAAAGGTATTGCACAATTTTCGTTGTGTGTACAAATTAGATTGATGTTACGAACAAAGTGATACATTTCTTTTCGACGATACATTTTCAGGTGTTGGAAATTTTGCAAAATACTTGGTTGAATGAGAAATTTGCGCCCGAACTGTTGCCACACCAATCGGATATTTTAGATTTGATGCTAGGCCAAATCGAACACATGGAAGAGAACATTTCACAGCTGGACAAAAATGACTTCCGATACATAGCCCATCGAATTGAATTGGAGCGCATCAAATATATTGTGACCAGTTATTTGAGGTGTCGAATCAGAAAAATTGAAACATTTACACGGGCTCTTTTGGAAGAGGACAATCAGAGACCGGCGGATAAAAGACGGCTGTCGGATGATGAGCGAAAGTATGCTGAAGCACACATGGCACTGATCAAAAGGCATTTTCAACAAATTGCCATCCAGCACATGCCAGCCAATCTACAGGAGGAATCAGCACGTGAAGTCGTTACACCCAATTTGATGTCACACATTTTTCTCCGGGCAAATGAGTCAGTTCCGTCGGTCGTTGTTGGCATGAACGATGAAGAAGTTGATCTCGAGGCCGGCTCATTGCACATTATGCCGTATAAACTAGCTTCAGACTTGTTGCTCGACGGAAAAGTTCAGTTAATCTAGTTGTAGTTTTATTTAGCAATGTAATCCAATTGAACACTGAGTAATGCGAAAAATAATTGTTTTCTTTGATTAGAATGATCTGTAACATGGGTGCTGTTGTCATTCAGTTGAAATTGTACATGAATTATTGGAAAAATCTAACGAAAAAAATTCTCTCAAGTAAATACGTATGGAATCATTTGAATTGAATCTTTTTCGTTTTCTTTTTTGTTGAAGTAAATTCATTTGAATAAATAGAAACGCAGAAATCGCCCAAACTGTTGCTCCAAAATAGCATTGACGAACATCGGGCAATACTGTGTTCATTTTTCACCACTTGAGCATCTAAATTCGATGAATGGCCGTTCAACAATGGGCGAAAACGAGAGGGCGATATCAAATTTTACGGCGAAAACGAAACACAGCTACTAAAAATTCTTTGAAATGTTATATTCGACCGAATGTGAAATAGAAACATATGAAGCGTATGCTTAGACAAAGCGAGCACGAAAGAGACGCAACCAAGCTATGCACAGCGAATAGGAAAAAAACAACAATTCACAAAGAAATAATAGATTATTGTCCGCCATTACGAATACGTCTGCCGCAAAACGACGACGATACAAGGAAAATTCAGAATTGTTTCAAGTGTTGTGTGTAATAAAAAGAATTGAACTGTTTTACCGCAGAATCAAAGCAAAGACTTTTTCGAATATAATCCATTCGATCGAAAGTTTAATGTGAACATTTTCTGTGTAAATGTGAGTTTTTGACCAATTGGAAAAGTGATTTTTTGGGAGTAGAAAAAAAAAGTGTTGGTTTGGTGTTGGCACTTCTGGTGTTTTTGCGAGTGAACAAAATGAGAGGAGAAAAAAAAAAACGAAACACTGCTCTTTTTCCGAGCGTGAACAAAGCACCCGCAGACAAAAGATCCCAACAAGACGAACAACGCAATCAATTAGAATGCGAATGAGACGAGAGAGAGAGCGAGAAAAGGAAAAAACGACGAATGAAAGAGTCACATACCAAGCGACAATTCATTGAGCAATTGCATCAATTAAAGCAATTCAATTTTGCAATTTATGCTTTTGTTTATGTGAAATTTTTCTCGATCGTTTTTTTTTCTCTCTTTTTCGATTTTTGTTTCACTTTTCGTCACTAAATCAGCAAAGCCAAAAGGCATTGCATCGATTGAAAAAAATCTCCCTTTAAATTTCGATGCAAAAAATTTAATGTTATTTTCTTTCTTCTTCTTTACTTCAGTGTTTCTAGCTATTCACACAAGCAGAGAATACAAAAATCATCGATTGTTATCTATCAAAAAGAATAAACCGAAACAATTTTCATTTTTGCTTAATTGTTTGGTGCAAAGTGAAGAGAAAACTAAGTTCGATTCAAGAAGAAGAAAAATTGTGAGTGGAACTGTGTAACCGAGCGCCAAATAGACAATCGCTGAGTTTGGTATACACCACACACATCGTGCAAAGTGCAAAATAGTCTCTCCTCTGACTAGCTAAGTGTGTTCGAAGTTCGGTTCATTTTGTGAAGCGTTCGTTTTTTGTTTCTTTCATTTTATTTTGGTTTTCAATTTTATGCGACACGATCTGCTGTGTGCAATTTTTGACAGTGCCGTTCGTGTAATAGCGACAATTTTTTCAAATTGTGTTCCAAAGATTCAGATCGAAGGTGTGTGTATTTTTGTGTGAGAGTGTATAAGTGACGCTAAGTGCAAATCTCACAACAACATCGGCATACACGTCGAACAATACAGTTCAGACTTGAGAGCAACCAAAAACTGAGACTTGACCAAACAACAACAACAAACAAACGTTGCATTGTGTTTGTTGAGAGAAAAAAAAGCGATAAACAAAAAGACTTTTCATTTCTTTGCATTAAATAAAGTAGCGCGGAATAACAAAAAGTTTTAGCCAATGTCTGCTGGTATATCGGATCAGGTAGGTGTCAATGTCAATTTCTTGAAAATTATTACGAATCCCCTTTTGTATGAATACAAAGAATCATTATTGTGCTACGCAATTAACTGTTTGTGTTATCACATTTCAAAATGAGTTTCTCTTGTAAACATTTTCGGTTGACGCGAATTGGCCGAACAAACAACATCAAAGCGAACTTATTCGCTGCTTCATTTTCGTCGAGCAAATAAATAAATTTAGATTCGGTTTGTTCCGCTACGACTTACGTTCGGAAGATGTTCATTCACAGTTTCGATGTGTCCTTGCAACGGTTGATATTTTCTGATTTCGATTCGAAATTTCTCGCATTCGTTCCTTCCGACCAAAAATTTCAAATCGAAGCCGTCAATCGGATTATATGTGCATTTACATTTCAAAACCTTCTCTTTTCGCATCCATCGCTGAAATTGATAGCAACATCAACATCATTTATTGCCTATTCCACCTTACTAATATTCATTTCTTCTTTTTTTTTAGCGAATGAAAGGACAAGGTAACCAAGGTGAGTGTACTTCACGAATAATTTTCCTATTCTAAAACGAAAGAGAAGAAAGCTGCCCCGTTTCAAGAGAGATATATTCTCTGGAAAGCGTTGTTCAAACCATGAAATGTTTGAAGTGATTTAGATTAAGTTGAAGAGAGTCGCTTTGGTCACGTTCAGAATGTGGTAGAATGGAGGATTGAAGAAGAGAGCACTGAGAAAGAATAATTCATTCCTAGAACACAAGCTAAATATACGGACAAAAAGCCTTGCATTTAAACTATCGATTTGCCTTTATGAACTACGTTTGGCATCTGCAGCGGATAGGAAAACAAATAGCACAGCGTCGTTTCTGTGTTTGCATTGATTGCTGCTGCTACTGCTGCTGCTGTTGTTGTTGTTGTTGTTGTTGTTGCATCGTTTATTGGGTAGGTGTGCGTACATAGGGTCTCTTTCGCTCTCTCACTCTCTCGCTCGGCTGATATGCCATTACGAATGGAATTTTGCAGTCAATGTACTCTCCCGATCAGTATTAGCATTCGATGTATGCGGCGTGCACCGAGTGAACGATGAGTTTCATATTAAGTGCACAATAGCGGCAACAACGACACACAGCTACAACGCCAAGTTGCAGGATTTTCATTGAATTCACGCCGTGTTGCATAGGCAAAGTTCCAACTTTGAACGGTGTCGATTGTGATGCGATTGTAAGCCCTACGTGCACATATACATGAGCGCATACGCGCACACTCGTTTGTTTCAGCGTTGTTTGACGTCATGATCACTAGGTACGATCGTTGGGTTGCCGTAGCAGCCAATTACTCATCGACCGCACACCGCATAGATTCCCAGCGCGAAATACGCGTTGAACGGGTCAACAATCTGTTTTTTCCATACGCGCCTCTTCTCTTTTTTCTAAATCTTTTTTTTTTTCTCTTTCTCGATTTGCCGTTTTATTCGCAACGAATTTTTTCCGCTGCTTCTTCTTCTTATTCTCTCTCTATGCGATCGTTTTTTCCTCCATTCATCTATTTTATACACGTATGCACGTTCAATTCCAATTACACGATCATGGGTATTTGCAATGTTTAATAATATTCCCCGTTCGTTTCACACACAAAATGTGATGATCGCGTTTCTTTTTTTCCATCTTGTATCGCTTGCATTTCTCTTACTTTATCTCCGCATTTTTTTTTTACGGATGGTAATAAAATAAGATTTTACAAAACGACAATAACTGTACGTTAGACGTTATAACGTCTGTATATATACAGATTTTAAATCTAGGCACACACGCGTTTACAACAACGCATGCTGTATGGAAACGTTGGACTTCTTATTTTTTTTTCAACCATCTGTGTATGAATGTGTGCTTGGCCTTTTCAAGTGAAGCTACAGCTACAACAACAATAACAACGCTCAAATGTTGCCGTTAGCAAACAATAAACAACTGACGTTTATCTTCGGCGAAAAGATATTTGACAAAAAAAAAATGTTTTTAGATATTTTCCTTGGAAACAAGCAAACAATTTATATGAAAACACTTGATATGACCATTCATCGATTTTTAAAATTAGTCAATCGTGTTTCATTGCAAGCGTAGGTAAAACATGCGACAACTGTTTTTTTTTATTCGATTTTCATTATTGCGAAACATTTTAATGTGACCACAATTCGGCTTTATTTTCACATGCGAATGCAAAAACTGGTCTACCGCCTCAAATGTTCTTTGCTTTATTCAGCTGTTACCATGCTGATTGTTTTTGTTTGTGTTTGTGTTCATTTTGAGGTTTTCTCTTTTATATGTTTGTTCCCACATTGTATTTGTTCGTCTCTGAATGTCAATTGAAATGATTTGCTTTCGTTTTTATTGCCGCTGTAGGAATGTTTGGTCCATCATTCGGTCAGCAATCATCATACAATTATTTTCCAAACAATGGGGAAAATTATAATAAAAACGCATGGGACTCGCAACAAGTAAACGGTGCATCGCGTCGTGGTGGTTATGATGATTACAATCGTGGATATGATAAGCAACGTTCATACGGAAGCGATGGCATTAAAGTAAGTGAAGGCCTGCTTCTGTGTTTGTTTGCCTTTTATTTCTATTTGTTCATTCATTTGCTCAATGGATGTGTGTGTGTGTGTCTAATTGTTTGGTGTAATTTTTTTCTACCCGAATCACAGTCAATTGAACATGGAGTGCAAGGTATTGGATTGGATGGCGGAAATCAGCGTGATTCATACTCAGCAAAGACAAATTCCCAATCGAACACAGCATCGGCGGCACAACCGAAGAAAACAACGTGGGCGAGCATCGCATCACAACCGGTCAAGTCCTCGCAAACGCGCATCTCGTCAACATTGAAAAAGAAGCCGGGAATGCCGTCACACATCAAGGTACCGCCACCACCAATGATTCCTGGCAAACATAACATGGATATTGGTAAGTTATGCAATTTAATTGCACCCATTCCTTTGTTCAATTCCAAGTTGAATATGCAATTTAACGCGAGAGTTCCCACACACTGCAATAGGCTTGGACTCAGAAAAGAATGGTGCTCTAGTTCCGCCACCAGTTCCATCGCCACCTCCAGTTATCGATGAACCGTCGCCATTTCAATTTCCGACGAAGAACCACAACAATGCAAATAATAATTCGACAAATAACAATTCAGAGCAGTTTCCAGCTCCATCCAACCGAAATGACTATCATCGCGACATGAATCGTGACATGAACCGCGACATGAATCGTGAAGGTGGTTGGCATAGACGTGAAAACGGATATCATCCACATCCACGTGATTCGAACCGTGGATATCAGCCACGCTCAAACTATGGGCCTCCTCCAAATCATGACAGAAATCATGACAGACAAATGAACTATCAGGTAAGAGTGAAAATTCTGATCAGCAACTGAGTGCCGATTTCTAATTGGAATTTCATTGGAACGATTTCAGGAAAATCGCAACTATCAGCCACGGCCACATTATCGTTCATCTCCACCGCATAATAATCAGTTCTATGGGCCCAATCGTAATGAAAATGCACAAGAACCGCCTCCACCAGCACCAAAAGTCGATTCAGATGCTCCAAAGCCGGAAGAGAATGCACCGGCTCCAGTTGAGAAGATTTTGGATAAAAACAACTACAATCCACCTGAGCTGGACACTGAGCATTTGGACAAAGCAAGGTAAGCGATTTTAAATGCTGTTTTGCCAAAAATTGTTCTAACGTTTTGGATTTCGTTCCGAATGGTTGCAGATATTTCGTCATAAAATCTTATTCGGAAGATGATATCCATCGCAGTATCAAGTATGAGATTTGGTGTTCGACTGAACATGGTAACAAGCGTTTGGATCAAGCCTTCCGTGACGCTGAGGCCGAAGGCGGTTACATTTATTTGCTGTTCTCAGTGAATGGTTCAGGTCATTTCTGTGGTGTGGCCCAGATGACCAGTGCCGTTGACTACAATTCCGTTTCGTCGGTCTGGCATCAGGACAAGTGGAAGGGCAAATTCTCATTGCGTTGGATCTACGTGAAAGATGTGCCGAATTCGCAATTGCGTCACATTCGCTTGGAAAACAATGAAAACAAATCGGTCACCAATTCGCGTGACACACAAGAAGTACCGAACGCCAAAGGGCAACAAGTTCTTCAGATCATTCACACATTTGTTCACTCAACATCGATCTTCGATGACATGGAGTTCTATGAACAGCGTCAAGTCGAAGAGGACACCAAACGTGTTGATGTACCACCACCACGTGGGCCGCCTCAACCGTCAAATTACCGTGACGGAGGCGGTTACGATGTTGGATATCGTCCAAACCGGAACTATGGTACTTTTAAGCGAATAAATTTCTAACTGCACTCAATACAAATACACGTTTAATTATGCAATTGAATCAATCATTTTATGCGTAGGTAACAATCGTGGATATCATAACAGCTACGACAACCGACGTGATGGACGGGATGGAAGTGGTGAATTTTCGCGCAACTATGATCGACCACCACCAAACCGTGACTACAACAATCGGCGTGAAGGCGGCTTCATGTCCCGAGACCGGGGAGAAAGAGATAATAATCGATTTGATTTTCGTGTAAGTACCAATTTCGATCCATAAACCATTTTCCAAACACTTAGCTACTACTACTAGCACTCGAGATATTAATGAAACAAAAATTTTGCTTGCATCGAAAAAGGATCGTATGGAACGAAACGATGATCATCATCAAGGTGGATTTAAACGTAATTATTCGAATAATTTCGGAAATCGTGGTTCGAATGGGCCAAACTCAAGCTATCGAAATGATCGCTTTGAACGTAATGAAAGAATTGAGCGCAATGATCGCATTGAACGTCGTGAATCGCGTGAACCAGACGACGATGAAAATATCGAACGCAACTGAACCTCCCTCCCCTATCCCCGAATAAATCGTCGAACTGAGTGCAAAAACTGATTTGAAACACATAAAAAGAGAGAGAGAGAGAGTGAGGAAAGAAAACACGAACGGCAAGCAAAAAGAAAATAAATAATGATCAATTACTAATATTTCATTTTTATCGTCGATTAAGTAGCATATGCGATTTCGTGTGAATGAACATTGAATTCATCAGCAAGAATCGACCTAAAAGAGAGAAAATTAAATAAAAATGAGTAAAATAATCAAAATCGTGAAAAATTAAAAAAAAAAAAAATAAAACAAAGTAACAAATAAAAGTATTGATTTAAAAAAATGAACTTTTTAATACAAGTAAAATCAGTAAAGTAAATTTATTCCAATAAGTTTCAAGCAACCGTGAATATTCAATGACTTTAAATTTCTTGCAAAGAGGTTCTAGAAAGAGAAAAAAAAAGACACAAAAAACACAAAAAAAATGAATAAACGATGCAATAAAATCACAAAAAATAATAATAATACAAGTTTCCGCTACATAAACAAAAACCTTTACAGTTGAAAACATTGAGAAATCGATCAAACATGAAAAACTCTCGAACTTTTCAATCAACGCCAATGTAGAAACCAATATATGAAAGAAAATAGCAAAAAAAAAACAAAACAAAAAAAACTTTTACAATATTTGAATGAAATCTAAGAAGAGAAAAGAAATCCAATCTAATATGTGTGTGAACAAAAGAAAAAAAAATCGAAACTATATAATTGCGTTTGTTTGTGCGTGTAAAATTTGAGTTTAAAAAAAATCATTGAATGGTGTGTGCGCACGCGTAATGTGCTCTCCAATTGCAACGGTTTAAGTTTTCATTTCATAAATAAATGTGCTTCACTTTTTCCAATTTCTTCGACACATGCGAAAAAATCCACGAAATTCACACATTTAACAACAATTCCTCCAGCGTCATATCGCCTACTTTGTATTTGATTTAAATAGAGAAATAGAGAGAAGAAAAAAATTTACACATAATAACAATTAGCTCATTACCAACACACATCTACACATGTTTTTTATTGTTTTGTTTTTTTGGTTCGAACACGAAACAACTACATCGATATACTAGCCAGCGATCATTTAGTTCGCGACCCGTAGAAGCAGAAGCAGCTCAACAGAAACAACAAACAACAACACTAGAATCCAATGTACACACTTTTGCTTATTTAAGAAATGATTCAACAAAAATAAATACTAATTCTCAATACGAAAGTAAAATAAAACATCTTTGGAATCAAATGAACTGCAGACTTTCTCAATACTGAAACAAATATGGCTAAACAAACAAGAACACATGCAAATAAACGCGCAGAAAAGAACAACAACAAATTTATTGAAGAAAATTTTCAACCACAACAAATTTAGATAAATATTAATTATATTATTACTATCGTAAGAATTTATAAATATAAAAAAACAATTTTAAAATGGAAAATTATATAAAAATCTTGCAACAACAAATAGATTCAATCAAATGATAAATAAAATACTTGCAACAAAAACAACCGAACACGTCTTGGGTTTCCTATTTTCATCTTGGTTTTCGTACAGAGTCAAGGGAGTGTAGTGTTTGAACATTGAACACCTGGGCTGGTCATGGACAAAACACCGGGAGTATAAACAATATTATTTTTTTCGTTAAATTTCTGTAAACATGTGATAATAATTTTAAAAAAAGGCAAATACGCACCATTTTTCCACTCAATGTCCAATAAATGCCCGGTAGGGAATACAAAGGAAACAACCAAGTACGCAGTAACACCAAATTGGAACCTGATTATCGTAAACTTCCTCTCGAAAACAAAGGAATTTTTCCGTCCATGACTCACACACCAGAAATAATTCGTGCGCCAACTATATTAACCATTGGAATGTTTGAAAATTGCTTCGAACACACGCCAAAAACAACAAGCTGAAAAAAAAAGATCATCAAACATTGATAAGCAGATATTTGTGCACGAAATGCAGGTGGTATGATTGGGCTTTTGACGTGTCATCCAATTTAAATCAGTACACAAGATTGCATAATGTTGTTGTTTGTTCGAAATAAAAATGACTGACGCAATTATCTGCCGTTTCCTAGTAATGTCCGTCTGCCTCTCTTTCGGCAGAAATTTTCAATTTTGTGACCCGAACTTTCTCTTCCATGTTCTAATAAAACAAGTTTAAATTTAACAAATTTTGGCAACGATTGTGAAATAGGGCGGTGCGAAATGTGATTTCGATAAATCGATATGAAAAGAGAATCATGCATAATAGTCATGTTCATATGAATGTAATGATCAAAAACTCAAGCGGAAAAAACATGAGTTTATTTTTATGCTCACATTTTTACAAATGAGTGACCAATGAAATGACCGGAATAATGCGCTCGATTCCAAAGTGAAAAAAACTCATAAAAAACTATCTCGGAACGAAAAAAAAAACAAATTCAAAGTCAAAACATAATTTTTTTCCGTACTTTCACATCCAAAATAAGACTCACGGTCTTTTTGTTTGTTTCCACAAAAAAAAAAACAGATTCAAATCAAAAGATTAAGATATTCATAGCCTAATAAAGTTGATCATGGATTCAAACTACATCGATAACAAATGTGAGTGACGAAATGCTAGACCGCAGTCGCTAGCGTGATACACAGCAAAAACCAGTAATTGTTGCATCATGCTTTCGTCGACTGTGTAAATTCAAGTAGCTAAACAAGACATTTGATGCGCGTCGATGCCAAATCATCAAGAAAACAAGCATGTTTACTCGAAATGCGAGACAGCATTGCGAAAAGGTTTTTCAGCAAATGTGTATGCTAATTTGGCAATTTCAGAATTTTCAAAACTAAAACGGCTGTGTACCAAAGCCTCAGCGAAAAAATAAGTACATAAAACACGCAAAACTCAATCACAGTATCAACGTTACCATGTCCTCTGTGAACAACATTTAATTTCATATCGCCAAAAGCTGAAAATTCAACCCAAAATTCATTTACTTTAGACTTGATTGAGTGTGGACAATGAGCAAATATGCTTTTCTTTATCAGCCAGCACATTGCACTGATAAAATTGTGTGTGCGCGCGCGTGCGCTCTGTAACTTAAAAAAGTCGAAAACTTTTCTTATCGTATTCGGTTGTTTTCTAATTATTTTTAAGTCGTCAAACAAAAGCCGTTGTCGACTCGATTCTATTTCATATGCCGCGGATATTAGGCACCATACTATAGATGTACTCCATGTAATATTGCTCAATGTTACACATTTTATTGGCTGAAATTATTATCGCTATAATTATTGTACGCGAAAATTTTAAAAGGCTCGGTAAACAAATGAAGCCATTTTTATATCTCATTACCCGAATGTGTGATGCGTGTGAGTGTACCGTGTGGCGGCTGTTGAACGTCAAAGTCATTTGAGGCGATGCGAGCGCCCCCAATTTCAAAGGGCACATCAATGTAATTTAACATTTCAAATCGGAACTACACAGCGCGCCAATTCGAAATATAGGAAAATATAGTGTCAACAGCCGCACCATGGAGTGTACAGAAAACACACGGAAAAATGCATTGCTGGCCGTGATTAATGCAAAATCAATTCCGAACATGATTGGACACGATATGAACAATTTTTTCCATGACGAAAAACAACACACAGTAGTATTGTGCGTCAGGTCATTTATCTATAATAGTGCTAGCGATTAACCGCCGACTTCGTGACAGACGCAAATTGGTTGCGGGAGACATTTCATTTCATTTTGGGAAAAATAACTGACGGTTTTTTGTCGGCTTTTTTATACAGTCAAAAGCTGTTGTTTGTCAAAGCCATACGATTGTTTTGAACAAAAATATCATATCACGTTATTTACTCCCTTAGACACACATCATGCGCGCATGGGATCGCGCGCGAACGAACTTTCGCGCAATGGACTGCCGCAACACACAAGCGATGATATCTTGCCATTGTGCTGTGCGAGTCTATTACGAAAACAACTCACTCAAATGCCGTTGTGTGTGATTAAGCACCTAAGCCGTAGAGGCTACGTGCAAAATTTTGGTTTCCGATCAAGTAATAAATTGACGTTGACGACAGCGGTTAATCAGTTCGTTACCGACTTTCACTCAGGCAACACATCATTCGTGTGTACGCTCCAACCAAACGATCATCGAAGCAAACAAGCGGCAATTGAAAAACAAGAAAGAGAATTGCTGAAATTTATTAAACCCATTACTGGAATTTTTCGCTGATTTTTTGGGCGTTTTTTTTTATTAGTCAACCTGAAAAGGATATTTAAAAAAAAATCATAATATAAATTGTGCTGAAGAGTGAATATTTGGGAGAAGAACCAGTAAATCCAAGTAAACAGTGTGTTGCATCAGAAAAAGTTCAAAACGGCGACGTCGGTCATTTTTGCACCCGACACCAGCAGGACACACTTAAAATAGAATGTTAAATCTGATTTCATTGCCAATGAAAATCCTCACTCCAATCATACAACGGACTGAAAAGTGATAGACAAATAAAAGTAAATCGACAAATTAAGAAAAACAGCCACCCTCAACAGCAACGACCGCATAAATCGGAATAATCTCAACCAATTGTGTGTGCGTGTTGGTACATTTAAAATCTAACGCATAAGTGAATCAACGGTTAAAGCTTGCTGAACATTTGTACAGACAGCACCGTAACGTCTTTGTTTCATTTGTTGAATTTTTTCTCGCGAAACCATTCGGGTTTTGAGTGGAATTATATTGGAGAGATAGAGTAAAAAAAAAGCAAAAATCAAACGTGATGTATTTCCAAGGTCAATATCAATATGCTATATGCATTGATTTGGTTACCACGTCCTGGGATCATCGTAATTTCTCGCAGGCCGATGCGATTGATCGTCAAGAAATTATCGGTAAGTGTAAACCCATTATCAGAAAGAAATTGACATTAAAAAAAACAAATTCCATTTTATTTTTCTACTTCTTTTATTTATGAACTCGTGTTCATTCTTCTTTTTTTTTGAGTACTTCCTCTTTACATTTTTTTGAAGTGTTTTTCAAACCAGTAATTCATAACTTTTATCACTTTCTCCATTCACACAAAAACACTTGAAACAGAATTCCCAGCCGTGCTGCTTAACCTACAGTCTCGTATAATCGAAGCCGATTTTCACACATTTGTGCGTCCAACTGAAGAGCCGAAGCTGAGTGATTTTTGTAAAAATTACACGGGTATCCAACAGAGCGATGTTGATACGGCACCCACTTTATCGGAGGCGATACGCAAATTTCATGATTGGATCGACAGTTTTCGATTTGCCAAAGGAATCGTACTAATCGACGATGCTAAACGGAAACAAAATACCGTATTTATAACATGGACTGACTTTGATCTCGGCATTTACTTGCCAACAGAGACTACACGCAAGAATTATAAGCTTCCAAGATACTTCAACAAATGGATCGATCTTCGAGACTACTACAGTGTAAGTGTTTGACACATATTTTTTTTTCTAAAAGGGCTAGACGAAAAATCTATTTTTTTTCTCTGTTTGAACAAAAATGTCTGCATTGAAACATATTTGCGATGAATGAGATCACCAGCAAAAAAAAAATCTACATGGCAAAAATGTTAGATGGAAAACGTCTATTCAGTTCTTTTCGCGTGCTATCGCTTATCAGATCATTAGACATTAAATTTTCAAATTATATAATCGAGTTGTTTTTCTTTCTTTTTCGTTACAGCTCTGGACTGGCATTGATCGTGTCATTTCATTTTCGTTTGCCCTAAAAATGGTTGGAATGCCATTTTTCGGTCGGTTGCACTCCGGAGCCGATAATGTTAGAAATTTAGCTCGATTGGTATGCAAGATGACGCGGGCCGGCATCGAACTAACAATTAACAGCGAAAGTGATTATTTCAAAATTTCATCCTAAATTCAAACACAAATCAAAGATATACCTTAATTTTAAGCAAAACCTCAATATGAAGGCTGTAATTATTCTGTTAAACATTTCGAATCGATTAGATTTAAGATGCGATTTTAGATAGAGTTTTAATGTGATTTTTGTTTTTTTTTTTTCCAATCGTTGAATAATTATGGTGATAATGTTACCAAAAATAAATTATGTCTGTTTGTTTAAACGTGATTGTAAATTAGTCAGAATAAGTCCATTAAAAAAAAAAAAAATAAATCGGAACTGATTAGATCTTACGAAAAAAATCACGAAAATCAACAATTTGTCAATTGTTTATTATTTCCTAACTCTTGTTCCATTTGAAATTGATAATTCGATTAGTTTCGCCTGAACAAGGTCGAAGTCTTATTTAACGAAGTTTTTTCCCACATCGGCTACGCTTTTTTCTCTTCTTTCAATTTATATATATATTCTTTCCTCCTTCATTTGTGTTAATCATAGTTTGAATCATATCAATGCATAAAGCAGTCAGATCGTCTCGTTATCGGGTCGTTCGTTATAAAAGCCGAGACGTCTTACTTTGCTTGTGAGATCTAATATCACAATCGCCGCAAAACGATTTACGTCGTCTTACATTCATGCCACTGATAAGACTTGTTTTCTCATTCGGCGAGACGATAAGCGCAAATAGTGGCCGATTTACAGCTGTTGTCATTTTCAATCAGCAAAACACCAATAAAATAATAAAAGTGCCTCTTTCCGTCCATTGTTTTTGCCGTTATCCGATTGAACGCTAAGTATGCGGCATACTTAAGCGGTAGAGTATGCGTTGTGCGCACCATTCACAAACCACACAATGAATTATTGTTGACGTTCACAGTTCTACGAGATGACAATCTGTCAGGCGAGCCTTAGTATCGCAATCGCATTGAACAGTAGATGTAGTTAAGACAGCAATTAGAACACAATTTTCAGCGTAAATAGTCGCAAATAGGACAGTAGTAATTTAGTTTAAACGCAAATCGAACAAGTGCCAAACAAAAGTAGATCAGCGATAAGTTTTCATATTAATTAGATCATATACTTTTTCAATATCAACAAATAACGACAACATCCGAGAACAAGAAAATGTCTTTTCAATCGCCGATGCCAAACCAACAATTCCTATGGGAAGTTTTTCAACGGTTAGTTTGATACTTTTTCTCTGATTGCCAGTGATTCATCCAAAGAAAGTGCAACACAATTAGTTTGTTTGTGCAATATTTCACAACACGTTCAAATATTTCGTTCCCGTGACTAACTCAGTTTATGTGTTACTATCTGTGACGTGTACCCATCAATTCACATACACCACACTACAGAAAAACTCGTTGATTGTAAACACACTATGATGTCATAACATCCGATACCGACAAAGCCTTGAACATTCTGGTTTTTTCGGCGAATTTAATTGTCATCTTACGCATAATATTAACACTTGTGTTAACTTTTTATACCTTTTTTCGTATTTTAATTTTGTTTCAAATTTCAATTCCAGTGTTTGAAAGAATTTTTTAATTGAAATTTTCAATATGTATTTTTTTTTCGTTTTCAGAGTTGACAAAGACCGAAGCGGTTACATTTCAGCCGATGAGCTACAACAAGCTCTGTCGAACGGAACATGGGACTCTTTCAACCCAGAAACAGTGCGAATGATGATCGGTACGGTTTATCAGTTATTTTAGCTTCTTATTATTGTTGTTGGACCATTTCTAATTAGACTGTCATCCATTTAGGAATGTTTGACCGGGAGAACCGGGGAAGTGTCAGCTTTCACGACTTTGGTGCACTTTGGAAGTACGTTACAGATTGGCAAAATTGCTTCCGATCATTTGATACGGATAACTCGGGCAACATTGATAAAAACGAATTGAAAACAGCACTCAGTTCATTCGGTTATCGTTTGTCTGACAATTTGGTTGGGATGTTGCTGCGAAAGTATGACCGATATGGTCGTGGCACCATACTTTTTGACGATTTCATCCAATGCTGTGTTACTCTTTACGTAAGCACTGAGAAAAAATATAAGCTGTTGTGTTTGTCATTTTTAGAAAAGTTTCGTTGTTCGTCATTTTCGGCTAATTTCCTTCGTTTCTGTTTTTCAGACGTTGACATCAGCATTCCGGCAATATGATACTGACCAGGACGGAGTAATCACAATCCACTATGAGCAATTCCTCCAAATGGTGTTCGCTTTGAAGATTTGATTGTCGCTCACAACGAGAGGTGCTGCAAATTAATCTAAATCCCTCGAAACATCTGATTGTCGCTCTTTAAAAAAATACCAATCAGTTAATTCAATCTAAAAGTGGTCAAATATTCATCATTCACCAGCAAAACCATAAAACACGTGCAAATAGCATTCTTATTTAAGTTGGAATTTGAAGACATAATTTTTAATCAGTTTTGATCAAGTATGAAAATGATATCGAACAGATGATCTAGTTCAATCTCTATGATGAAATATAGAATATAAAACATTTTTATCTTCCGTTAAATGTTAATCTACAAATGTTTCTCCCATGATGTCAAACGATTTTACACACAGAGTGAATATATTTTGTCATTCCGGCACACCACACCTTTTTTTCATATTCGTCAGTGTCAATTGACGTAGTACTCATATTATTACTCTATTTTACGACATACACATGATTTTATTAGAACAAAAAGGAAATAAATTCATTTAAAACGAAACAAAAAGAAATAGATATGAAAAAAACACTATTTCAAACTAAAATAAAGTAATTTAATTCCATGAAAATCAGTTCAATTGTTGGTGATATTGAGAGTTTATGTGCAAAAAATACATATTACAAAGAGTGTCAAAAGACAGTATATTTTATGTAACGTTGGTTTCGTGCCTCATTTACAACATTTTAATCAGTTTATAAATAAAAAGCAATTTTAAAGCATTCAATTAGCGTATTTTTTTTTGTTCATTCCAAAAATGTTGATGGATTTTATCTGTTGGTGACTGAAGCTCACACTATAAATAGCAAAGTAAACAAACTCTAAATTCAATGTATCGCTGTCTAGATGACGCTTTATTTCAGAATTTAACATGTTGGTAATTCAAAAACTCTTCAGTACATGATTGCATGTATTTGTGTGCAAATAAACACACACAGCCGCTGAAATTTGTAAGATTATTTACCTCGAACTCGAATTCAATTAACACCTTGAAGTACAGTAATTTCATTTGCAATTTCGTAACTATTCCACAAATGGAGATTAGTATTAGTTCTGAATCGAGCATCAAAGCATTAGTCTTAAGTGTACCAATTCGTTTGGTGAGACAGTTTAAAAATGTTGCAAAAGTATTTAATTTACCTTTTTGTTTTTGCCGTTTTGATTGTTGGTGTTCAAATGGTTTCAATTGAAAGATATGAAAATTATGCGGAAAATGAGAAAGATCATCAGAAGTGTTTGTCAAGAAAACGTAGATATTTGACATTTCCCGAGGGAAGTTCCATGCAACTGGGTGAGTCTGAGGCATATTTCATAACACGATGAAAAACATTCTATTTTTAATTGGTGTGTTTTTTTTTCGTACCGTTATTCTTAGTCTACGATCAGATTATAGGTATGGTGGACACGACCAATCTGCATATCTTTGGTATTACATGTTCGTTGGCTTGGCAACTGCCTCATAAATCACATTTTGCCGAGCACCACACTGAAGCACCGATGCATAATAGCAAGATTTCAATCAGCGATGTTGTGAACAACACCGATAAAATTGACTTTGATGAATCGCCGCAAAGCACGGGACATGTTTACCATTTCGACACTTACTACAATCGGTCAAATTATCATTCGCATAAAGTTGATAACGGTTATTTCGATTACTTGAAAGCAGAACCAAAAATAAATCGACCACCATCGATTCGATTCGACGATTGGCAAAAATATCGCACAAATAAATTAAAGTGGAATTATTCGCATGACATTTATCCGGCATTGCGAATGAGAAGACACATCGCCAGTTATGACGAGAAGCATAATGGCAGTGGTCTTCATCCAGAAGTGAGAAAATTGGTGCAACATCATCGTGATACACGTTTTAGCCTTTATAAATCCATTGAAAAATACTTGAATGCGTAAGTAGGATTGCGGTGCTTAGCAGAGATTGAAGAGGTAAACATTTTGGAATATTCAATTTCAGCAAAGGTGAAAATGGCGAGCAATGCATCAAATTAGCGTTATGCGAAACAAATCAGATGGAACATACGAGTACCGAACCTGATTCATTTGTAAAAGAACTATTACGGGCGATTTTCAGGTAAATTGGATTAAATTTCTTTTGAATTGAATGAAAATTTAATTTCGAATTTCAGTTTGCCATCAGTGAAGTTTCATTCAGATATGTCCACAGTTCAATCAACGAAATATGACAAAGTTTTGAATGAAATAGATTACAACAATGGCATTGACTGCTACAAAAAATATCCCGAGTGTTCCACAAGCATATGGAGCAGCGATTTCATATTTTAATCAGTCGAATTATTTTTAATCATGTTTTTTTTTTAAATAAATAAATTGACGCAAAAATTGTATCTATCAGTTGAAGTGACTGCACTCACTCACAATTAAAATTGCTTACCCACATCATATGCTGGAGAGACGATTGTGAGTTATCGTCAATGGAAAATTGAAATTTGTCACACTTTATCTCTATTCCGATTCTGCTGTCGTGAGGGAGTATTTGTCGCAATGACGACATGACTTCATCGAATTCATTAGAAACCAGTCACTTGAAAAAAAAAATACAACATAATTTATTTCCAAATTGTTTAACACGTGATTTAGTCAAAGAGGAGATTTTATGCCCAAAAACGTAAAAGGGAAAAAAAATCGAAATTTTAAGTTTTCAGAATGCATAAATTAAATAAAATATTTATTGCATAGAACAGACTAATGGTTTTATTAGGTCAATACTAGTATATTGCTTGAGTTTATTAAAGTACTTTCATGGTGAAGGAGCAAAGAAGAGCGTTATCTGTCGACCAAATCCACTTGAAAGTTGTCACACTTGGCAACTATAAAATTATACAGCTGACGCAGACTTAGTCCTTGGAGCGACCGAGCCATGCTGCTGTTGCCCTTGTTGTTGTTGTTGTTGTTGTTATTGTTGTTGTTCGCCATCTTCGCTTCGTTCGCCATATTCGCTGTCATCATCATCGTCCGCCTGTTCTCTTTCTCTTTATTTTCTTTTTTTCTTTCTTCTTCTTCTGCCAATGCTTTCTCCATCGCCTCCTGCTTCAACACAGCCTTCACTTTTCTAATGGCGACCGATATGTAGGCCTCGATGGCCTGACGAGTAGCCATCGGTAAGTCGCGCGGCATGGTCACATCCAGAGAGGTGAGCAGTCTTCTGATGCTGACGGTCATTGTCGTGAGGCGGCGCTCCATAAAATATTCGTATTTTTTGTTTTTGAGCGCGGCATTACTGCTGTTGTTGCTGTTTTGTTGTAACTGTTGCTGTTCCTGTTGTTGTTGTTCCTTGGCCTTGACCTTGGCCTTATCTTTGAAGCGACCGAGCCGTGTCTAGTGTGGAGATCCGAACTCGATTGAGCTTCACTAACGGCTGTGCTCTTGTTGCCTTTGCTGTTGTTGTTGTTGTTGTTGCTTGGCCTTGGCGATTCTTTCGCTCTTCCCGAGCTCTTTCTCGAATTTTACGCCGAGTTTCAGCCAACGTCAGTTCTCTGGCGGTTCGGTTGGATATATGGGCGGCATTGCTGGCATTTTCATTCGCCTTTTTATATGCAGCGTGAGCAACCTCATAAGCTTCCTTAGCTTGTTCGAGTAATTTTTTTTTTGTTCTTTACTTTTTCTCGGGCTGATTTCTCCGCTGAGACGGCTTTTTTGTGTTCCAATGACTTGATAACAATATCATTGGTGTCACTGTCATTGCCGTCAACAGTCGGACAACTTCGGATGCCCCCTATGTTCCAGCGCGTACAGCATCTGTATAGCTGCCATCATTGTCGCTATTTTCGCCGTCTTCGTTGTCTTCGCAGTCTTCGTCGTCTTCGTCGTATTCGCCGTCCCCCTCCGCCTCACGCTTCAACATATTTTTAACTTGTTTAATGACGACGTCTATGTGGGCCAGAACGGCGTCACGAGTTTCACTCGATATGTGGAGAATAGACGGATCCACTGTGGTGATCAGTCTTCCGATGGTGGTGGTCACTTTCGTGAGGCGATTCTTTATAAAATATTTGGATATTTTATTTTTGAGCTATAAAAAAACCGAAATTTTTTTTTTTTTTATTTAAGTGATTTTTAGGTATAAATTGAGAAAAGAAATGTTCGAAAATCAGCTTTGAATGTAGTGTGATTTGTTATAGGCGACAAACAATTGGATCCAGGATTAAATGCAACTGGTTGTTTTTTAATTTATTTAGACATTAATGTTTGTGCTATCGTTTTTGTTGTTTATCATCAAAGCACGCCCAATTGCCATCTCAAGAAAATAATAAAAAAAATATTAATCAACAAAACATCGTATTTATCCTGGAATTGTCAAGCAAACCAAACCGAACCGAAAGTTCAGAGACAATGTTTTGCTTCGTGTGAAAAATGAACTCACACCGATGAGTTATTATAGCCATAGTCACTAGAAGCAAAAGAAAACACCGTGGTTGTACATCTATCAAGTCAGTCTTCTGAGAATTGTTGTTAAAACTGAATTCACAGTGAGTTCTAATTATGAATCGGCTCATTCGGAGCGCTTTAAAGTGAATTTTATATGACTCATTTGAATGTGTGAAGAAGTGTATCATTCAAAACAAAAGGATTCGTGATGGTTTTTTGCATGAATGCAATCGTTATGTATACAATTATCGTTGTGTATACAAATGTAAAGAACTATCTGCGATAATTCAACAAACAATTGAATCGCACCTTATTGTTTTCACTTATTCGATATTTTCAATTCATTTAAAAAAAAGAATTCGAAAAGAGTACCTTGAATGCATTTCAGTACTATCGTACCATCATCAGCATCACGACTAAACAGAAAAGTCGTCGGTTGTCACGTAAAAACATCGGCCGGTGTAGCATCATAGCAAACGAGACAGCAAATTTGATTCGATGTTCCCGTTATCCAGATTCAATGCGTTGTTGCTCCTCTGAATAAAGTAACTTTCGTATGCGTCCAATTTGCGCGCATCGCCTATCTCTTTCACCAGCCGTAAGTTGCTTATGTCGATATTCAAATGACCGCTGTTCAATGCATGTAATGCTAAGGCAGAGCGGTAGCCCTGTTTGTTCTTTATGCACAAACAATGTTCACGGAAACGAACTGAAATGTTACGTTT